ACTAGCTAATTATGCGGGAACACAATTGGACAACCAAATGTTATTAGTACACTTAGATTAGCTGTTTCGCATTTACGTCGTACTGTTCGGCTGAACTTATAAGTTGTTATAAAGAGTTTATAAGATGTTCTAAAGTGTTTAATAATTTTTTAAAAAGGTATCTTAAAAATTCAAAAATAAGTAGATGGACAGTAAAAAAGATCGTTTAGAAAATTAAATTTACACCATTTTTTTATTTAAGATCTGAATAAAAATAGCTTATAAGCATGTTATCCAAACACTTTATAAATTAATTTTAAAAATAAGAATTTATCTACTCTTAAACAAATTATGAAACGAACGAAAAAGCTTATCAGTTGTATAAAACAATTAACATATTTTCTCTAAAAAATAAAAAATCAAGAGGAGGACAGAATGACGTGGAGTAGCATCAGCCGACCACGAGAATCCTTAGGAAAGAGCGACGACGTCGTACCAAGAATTAAAAGTTCTCACCTGGTGTTACTTGTGGGTCCCACCCAAGTGTGATAAAGTTTTACTTCTTTGGTTGACTATAATTACTTAATTAGTGGCTCATAATATTGTAATTTGTATGTAATAGAAAAATAATTTATTAATCTAATAATAATAGCAATTATAGGATATTGGTGGGTGGGGTTTTCATCATCTCTTAAAGAGTCACAATTAGACGTGTAAATGAGCTGAATCGACTTAACAAGAGCTCGTGCTCTTTGATGAGTCGAGTCTGAGTTCATTCTTAATTATTATGAGTTTTGACCCCAAAAAAAATATTCGAAGAGCTTGATCTCAAGCTTGCGTTTGCCAAAGGAGTCGGCCATGATCGACTCGAGCTCGGTTTGTCTTTATTATCCCACAATTCTAAGATAAGGTCATGATAAGATATATGGGCACAAATATAACAATCAAGTATAGAAAAGACTAATGAAAGAAACATAAGCTTTGTCTAAAACTAATTAAGAATGTGGTCAAGAAAGAGACCATATCATCTCTAATTTAACAGGTGGGCTTGTCCCCTAGGAAGGTGGTTAGTCTAATCAAAAGCACCAAATAATACATATATTAAATAATTATCACATTTTTTTAATACCAACTTATAATATTATGGGCAAAAGGGTAATTATTTTCTTCACCTGATTTTTGTTTTTATTATTTGCCTTTTGTTGAGCTTGAAAAGATAATGTGCTTGAGTGGACTTGTAGAGGTTGCATGCATGAATATCACACACACACACACACACACACACACAAAATCACAAGTTTTACCAAATTATGTTGTTAAATAATTAATTAATTAATTAATCAATCTTAGGTGGAAAATTATTTAATTAATTGTTTTTCTCTGCATAGTAATAGTCTTGAAAACACCGTCCTTATTTACAAAACGATGTAAGGTACCTCCACGATACACCGCAGACTTTTTACTCATCGTGTACAGTCGTAATTTTTTTAACAGCTTATAACCTTAACCGAACACGCGGTCGATTGCATATTGTACGTTACTGTCAAGTCCACCTCATAAAGTACCGAGCAAAACTAGTTGGGCAAATATTTGGGGCTAATTTCAGAATAGGGAATAGTTTGGGGCCCATTTACGTCTTTAAAAAGCTTGCAATTCAAGCAAAAATTCGGTTTCGATTTCAATTTCGTAGGATTTTTTCAGGAACCCTTTTTTTTGTAAATAAGATTAAAATATATAAATAAGATATTTGCAACGATAACCTTCGATGGGCGGGAAAATGCCCTTCAGGTTTCGTATAATTTTTCCGGGAACCCTTCTTTTATAAATAAGATTATAATATACTAAATTCTCTATTTGCAACAATAACCTTCGAACCGACGGGAAATATTGCCGATCGTGTTTCGTAAAGTTTTTCCAGCAACCCTTTTACAAATGAGATATAGGGCAATTACTGCCACACCTTGAGGTAATGTCAAATTACGAAAAACCCCTTCTTGTTTGCATAATTACAGCCACCCCTCAACTATGTAATGTCTTATGAAAAAACCCTTCCAGTTGGTTGTATAGGTGTTCATTCGGTAAAATCGTACCGAAATTTTGGTACGCCAATTTTCCATACCATATATGCATATAAACAAAAAAACTGAATATCGAACCGAATTACCGGTTCAGTAATCGGCATGTACCGAATTTTCGTTCGATTTACCAACCGGATGAACACCCCTATGTAAATTTAACAATGTAAAGGTGAACGTGTAATGAAATACATAGTTGAGGAGATGACTATAATTACACAAACATGATGGGTCTTTTCATAATTTCACCTTACCTCAAGGGGTCACCTTAATTTGCCCTAAGATATATTATACGTCATCCTTTTCTTTTTCCCTTACGTATTAGGAAAATTCCTTAATACGTATTTAATTTGGATATTTAATTTTCCTAATACGTATTTAATTTGGATATTTACAAAAGTCCTTACGTATTAGGAAAATTACAAACATTCCTAATCTTAATAGAATACTAATTAACAATCACCACCCTATATATATACATCACACAACCCCCCATCATTCTTCATCGCATCTTTTCTCTCTCTAACTTTCTCTCTCTAGCTTTCTCTCTCTAGGGTTTATTCTCCACCAACTGTTATTTTTTCTTTTCTTCAGGAAAAAATTTCTTAATCAATGGCAGCAGAAACCGGAACCCCCACAACACTAACACTGAAAAGCAACGACGACGAGCTATTCTCAGTGGCGGAATCCGCCGCCATACTGTCGGTGACAATCCGCAACATGGTGGAGGACGGCTGCGCGGGCGGCGTAATCCCTCTCGACAACGTTGACGGCAAAACCCTAGCGTCGGTCATCACCTACATGAACGGAATCTCCGCCATCCCAGCCGACGAGGAGAAGAAGAAGAGTTACAGGGATAAGTTCCTCTCCGACAAGGATTTTGAAACCCTCGCCGACATGGTTTTGGCGGCGAACTATCTCAACATGAGTTGTTTAATGGATGCCGTCTCTGCGAAAATTGCACAAGTTATGGAGAAGAAAAGCGTTGGCTGGGTGAGGAGAAAATTCGGCATCGAAAACGATTATACGCCGGAGGAGGAAGCCGCCGTAAAGGAGGAGCACAAGTGGACTTTCGAAGGTGTCGAAACCGACGACGATAATTGAGTTCCATACATATTTCTTTTTAAAGATTGATTTCAAGATTGGTTATCAGTAGATTTTATTTTTTTAGTTGTTAATTGATTCATATTAAATTTTTAGTTTTTCGTTTTGAACAATATATACAGGCGTTGCTTTTTCCCTCTTTTTTTAATGCATGGGTTATTTTTTTATGCATGGGTTCGTAGTTGCGACTACGAGATCTATTAGAATTAGGGTTTAACTCGTTTTTGCCATTTTCTTCGTAATTTTCTTCCCAATTTTTTGTATTTTCCCGGTTTAATTAGATTTTTTCGATTTTATTAGAATGTTATTACTTTTCAGCAATACAAATACGTAGATTCGTTTCGGAGACCTATTAGAATTAAGATTTAACTCGTTTTTGCCTCTCTTTTTTTTTGTGTAAATTTCGTATTTTTGTGATTTAATTAGTTTTTCGACTTTTATAACGATAAATATGTATGCAATAGCAAGTTATAAGAATTTAAATATATACCATATAAGCTTGTAAATAGAATTTTCCCAATAAAAAACTGAAAACTTAATTAGAATTGAAACAAAGACATCATAATTCATAATTCACAACTCGTTGCTGAATATTAAGGATTAATGAAGATTCTGAGAACACACACACACACACACACACACACACACACACACACACACACACACACACACACACACACACACACACACACAGAAATTATCTATTACCGAGTCAAAATCGATAATCGTTAATAGTTAAAGAGACTTTTCCACAAAGGTTTCGGTTAAGCTATGGCCGTTGATAATATTTGTTGTTCCTACAATTATGTCATACGCCATTCCCTCCTGCAGAAGAATACAACGGTTTGCCCAAAAAATGAGATGACGAAGAAGGAAAAAAACGATGAAAATTTGATGTATTTCGTGATGGAATATTAATTAAATAAGTACCTGAGAACTGAGGAAACGAAGTGCGGATATCTCAGCAAAAGTTACTCCACCAATGAAAACCACAAGGACTAAATCACGCCTTCCATCTGCTGCTAATCTGCGAAATACGCAATATTGAGAAATAAATCATCATCGTACAAATCGTAGTAGTCATCTTTTCAAGATTTTTATCTCTAATTAAGAAAAGGAATAATACTTGTCCAAACTGTTCAGAGATCCTGGCAACGTATCGTACGACGGGATGCTTGAAAATCCACCCTGGATAAACATATAATTATGGTTAATTAAGTCGCTTATTCGGAGATTAATGAAAAAATGAAGAAGGGGATAGAAAAGAGAGACTGTAAAAAATAACCGACTTTCTTGGATTCGGAGTGTGGCCCAGGTAGTAGCCTCAGTATTTCTTCAAGGCCCCGCCTGTAGGGAATTATTTAGGACATAAACAAAAATATAATTGAAGTATAATATTATCTTCTGTGTTCATGGATGTCGTCATATGCAACAAAAATCGTCATTCAAATTACTAGATTTGATATATCCTTTTGATAAACAAAACAAAAAAATATCATCATTGACTCGGCAGAAGTGTCGACCAACTTGCCATTTACAATACTGTAATCGCTGCAAAAATATAGTCTGCCTTTTATTTTTTCCGTCCAGTCTTATAAACAACTAGTACAAACTAATGAGATATAGGCCAGAGTCCGCATATTTAACAGGAACCTGATTCATTTTCTTTTCTTTTTTCCGTGAATCAGAATTATATATAAAATATAAAAAGGGGACAAATTCTGTAAATAATCTCACCATCCCGATCTTATTGCATGCTGTACGAGTCGAATGCTGAGAGGTGCATATCCGGAGAAGACATAGGAAATATCATTTGGACTGACAAAGAAAGAGATTACTGGTAAGAAAGAGCAGGTCAAAGAAAAAATAACACAATGCTGCGTTTATGGTTAAAATGTTAAAAGAAGTAATTAACCCAAAAAAAAAAAACGGACGCCGATGCAATTAAGCCCAGTTTCAATTTCATGGGTCCAATTCCATTTTCAGGTTATAAAAAATTTGATGCCCGTCTACTGACAGTAATGAGATCAACTTGGCAGTAATTGAGGCTAAGCCTAGCAAACTAAACCATTGAGCCTTCAACGAGATACTACATGAACAAAGGTCGTACGAAAACAATATTGATTATATGATTTAGCTGTAGTCACTTATCTTTATGTTCAAAAAAAATATTTTAAAGGTGTTCATAAGTTGCAGTCAATATCAAAACATACTTAGTTGTGTCAGTGTCTTCTACCACAAGCTGCAAAGTACGTTTTATAGTCAGCCAATTGCTTTTTGAATCCTGCAAGGCACAAATAGAATAACCAACGACTTCATGAAGATTCTGTTTGATCCAATTTCATTAGACCAATGGGCATATTTGAAAAATTATAATTTACCTGTTTCCTAACCAGCCCCGCCTTTTCCAAGTTATTCAGCGTACCAATATGCTCGAAACCGTAGCTATGAAGAAGCTCTCTCCTGAACCAAAAAGTGAAAGTCGAATAATTTGGAGAGGGAGTCAATACTCTTTACAAGTTCAGAACAAAATGAAATAGCAGCCAAATATACAACTTGCCTCAAATAGTCAAAATTCTTTTTTGGCAGTCCCGAGTTTGTTATTGAAAATAAGATTAGAAGGCGTAGGACATTTACAAGAGGCTCCTGCTTATGAATCATTTCTTCAATGAAGTCAAAGCATCTGCACTCATACACAACATTATTCTGGTTTCGTCGCATGTAAACAGCATAAATTTGATATAACATACACATCAGTTGTTTATGATAATAACGTACATATCATAGCTCTGAGCCTCAACGAGTGTTTGTTCCATATCAAGTTTCCCAAGAAACGAAGGTTTTGATGTAAATGTTGACAAATGCTGAGCAAGATTTATGTGCCTCTGCATTGACAAGGACAGGTGCTTAGAGCTAAAACATGCAGCAATATATCGAACACAGGCATTAATATTGACATGATACTTACAGTCATTTCTGGCAATGAGTTAAGCTTCTTCACAAAGTCCTTCAACTCAGAGACACTTTGAGTCTGTATAGAGGGTGCAGAATCAGAACTCGTGTACTATATTAACATTCATTTGATGAACAAAAGTATTCTATACAGTAAAAGTTAATATCTAGATTTGAGCAAAGTCTCTTAAAGAATCTATTTCACATCCCATTAATCTCGTTTTCTTATGGTATGTTCACATATAGAAGATCCATCCCCGATCAGAGCACTTACTACTCTACTGAAGAAAGAATTCACGACACAACGATTAAAGCATAAAGATGAATAACATGTTTTTCAATAGTTATCTTAACCTTATAAAGAAGAAGTCTATGTATATTTGTACACTAAAGTGGCTGACCCGGACTTAAAAAAACCAAAGAGAAGAGAAACAGTATCACTTGATGGACTCACAACTTGAAGACCTTTAATTTGACGAACAACACAAACATATTTCAAGCCAAGCTCAGAATATAAAATCAGCTTCACATTAAGATAAATGTAAATTCAGAATTTTAGCTTCGTCAATTTATTATCTGATATCCAATCAAGGATGGAGAATGACAATTTAATTGCAACAGAGACAAAGGACAAGCTCAAACATCTATCGATTGACAACTTACAGTAGTCGAAATATCAGTGTAGTCTTGCTTCATGGAAGTCGCTTTTTGACGAAGAACCTGAAACATACTGTTAATAGCAATTAAAGAAACAGAGCTTCAAAAGTAATAGACAAGAACTGCCGGAACAAAAATTTGACGACTCCATGCGAGATATGAAACATATGAATCTAATTATCTAAACTAAAATCACGAATGGATCAACCTGAACAACAACTTCAAAATTCATATCCCGTATCTCCTTGAATAATTTGTCACTACAGTAAAGACAACACGGTGGTTAGCATTTAAATATGATTGAATCAATTTAAAGATCACTTTAAATCTTGACATAATATTAGCATTAAAATATGACTGAAGCAAGAAAGATCACTTACCTAGAATTGAGGGGAACCTTCATCTTCTTGCCTTCTTGCTGAGCTCCCATAATGGATGCATCAAGCTCCACAGCGCCATTACTGATACCAAGAAGCTGCATCAAACCTATTAGAGATAGCTTATAAACAAATTCAGAAAGGAAATTACGGAAACAAAACTTTTATTATGATATGAATTGGTACAGAAGCTCGTGGCTGCACGCCATTATCCATTTAACTTGAATGTTGTGAATGCTTAGTTCGTGTAGATTTAAAAGAAATTTACATTTTTTCAGAATAACCCCTCAAAATAAAATTGGAAAGAAAATAGTTTTCAAAATGGAAGATACTGATGGTCAGCACGGAATGACTTCTCATTAGAATAAGGCTTCTTGAAAACGGAGCTCTTAGGGATTGTGCCTGTAGAAACATGGTCATAATTATCTATATTTGTAGTTTTACCTCGTCTAGCAATCCCTCGTATGTCAACTGAGTACACATCGGAGTGACCATGTCCACCTGCAAAAGAAAATAACAAATTTAACAAGCAACGTTAAAAAATGAGCAAGAGCAATTAAGTGGTACAAAAATGAACGGTCATTCTTCTAAAACATAGTAGTAAATCTTCTTGTAAGAGTTCACTTCTTCATTGTATAAAACGTAAATCAATGGCTATTCTACTAAAACATCAAAAATAATCCTTAACACCATAGAATCAAAGGAACATGACATAATACTCACAATTGTGACTCTGTAAGTAGGTCATAAAATAAAACTAAGAAAAAGGAGCTAAAGTATACCTCTCTATCTAGAAGTATAAGAGTATTTATTTCTGGAACGCCCACCTATAATTTAGAAAAAAAAAAGAAAAAGAATCAGCATTTGACTATATCATATGGACACCGAGAAATGCAAAAATAAATAAATAATCATATGCCTATGAGTGAAGAATGATTACATCTGAAGTATTAACAGGTTCTTCAGCTTGCATGCGATTCAAAATATCAGCAACACGCGTAGCTCCTTTCCCTTTGGCCCTAACATTTGGTATTGCTCCAAAAGAAAACTGCATATCACATTCAACATAGAATCCTCAAATAGAGTAACAGAAAAAGAGGAAAAAGAAAACCAATCGGTATCCATATACATAAATTTTCTCACTAAACATGGTAGAATACTAGAAACTAATAAAGTGAATATTTATCAACTATACCTCCATATTGTGAATGGTTTTTGCAATATGCCAGAGTGAGGTTGCATCTCCATCCACTAAATATTCCTTTCAGGCACATACTCCCAACATTAGACATTAAAACAAAAATTGACTTATTGGTCATTTTCAACATAATAAATAAAATAACATACTTTCTGAGAAAGGTCGAGTTCAAATGAAAATACATCCTCATCCAATGGAATCATGTATAAGGGAAACTCGCCAATGGTCAACAGCTCATGTACTTTTTCCTCCTCAAGTATCTATAGACAAACCGAAACAAAATATATTGAGGTTGTGGTGTTGTTGTCAAACATTTTCTTACGGTCAAATTTCAGAAACCATGTTGCTTACCTTCTCACATGCAACAACTCGGCGTGGAACAAAGTAAAGATAGTATTCTTTCTGAAGCCCTTTTGAAGTATCGTTTTGAATGTGCGAGCTAATAAATTTCATCAAGTCAAGCTGAGCTCGCACGAGGTAGACCACTTTGGTGCGTTCGGTTTGAATTGGCTCAGCCGTTAGGTGTCGCAGTTCAGCACCATGTTTCTGATCATAAGAAGCATCGTCACTTTAAATTTTCCTTAGCGGCTATTTTATCATTCAAATATCAAGAAAAGCATATTTCGAGGCTTCATTCCGTGTTTTTCCTTTTACGTTTAGTCTGACTAGATAAAACTAAAACATGCCTACATCAAGCAGGGGGGAAAAAAACGGGACCTCAAAATTACGTGGTAATCAATATGATCCTCCAATCGTAAATTGCGATAACAAATTTCCAGAATGATTATGCCACAACTTCTTAAATAGTTCCTAAAATTTATGGGGCAAAAAATCAATAACCACAAGGACACAAAATACCTTGAGTTCTGAGCTTTGGAGAAGAAGTGAGAGCGATCCACTAAGCTTTGGATCAATAACCAAACACTTTTCTCCTCGAACCTAAAATTAAAAAAAAAAAAAAAACAAAAAAAAATCAATGAATTCGAACGTGTACACTAAAATTAATCCCATTGCGAGATGTTAAAATTGACTCTGAATCGAAACAAACTCACATTTTTAAGGATAGTTTCCAGCTCCTTCTGAGCTCGTGTTCTGAAATTCAACAACAACAAAAACCAAATCACTAATTAAAAATTAAAATTGGCTGCAAAATCATTGAATAGAATCAAAATGCTTACCGGATAGCAGTGAGATTGATCGGCGCGTTCTCTAAATTGGGAATCTGAGACATCGTTTCTAACTTCCTCCTTAATCTCTCTCTCTCTCTCTCTCTAGAATTAGCAGACTGGACCCATTAATTGACTAGATCTCCAGCACTGTAATTTGTGCGAATTATTCTCCGATCAATATCAGCAAGAATTAGAGCAGCGCTGAAATTTGTGCGAAGATGGATTCAAATCATCATCGATTTTCAGGAAAATAAAAATCAAGAAAAAAAATTGGAAAGTTCAAACCCAAATTATTTATTAAATTGAGGCCTGTTTGGGTTTAATTAAATTTAATTGGCCCAAGCCCACATTAATTTGTGAAGAGTATTATTTACTTTTAAATCATGAAGATTAGAGGTAAATCTTGATATTTTTTTTCATTTTTAAGCTCAATTTGAATTTAGGGTTAACTGCAAAAAATCCCTTAAACTTTGGACGTTTTTGCGCTTTACCCCCTGAACGGAAAAAAGTTGCACGAGCATACCTGAACTCTATTATTTTTAGCACCAATGTCCAAAATGTCCATTTTTGGCCAAAATTGACCGGAATCCAAGTCACGTGCCTTACACGTGTATATAGCTGGGGTAAATGCGTCATTTCCTTTACACCCATTTTCTTTCTTATCTTTTTAATAAATCTAAGAAAAAAAAAAAAAAGAAAAAAGGGAAAAAAACGCCTCTTCTTCCCGTCACCATCATCCCCAACCAAACTCCTCCCATCAACACCAGCCCCAACCAAAAGATGCAACAAAACAAACAACTCCTCTCTTTAATGTGGGATGTGTTTGACTGGTTTTATAATCCCGGTGCACCGGGAAATGCAGGTTGTGGCTGGAAGAGAAGATAGTGCAGAAGGATCTTGATAAAGTTGATTTCTCTTTCATCATCTATGCTTGTAAGAATTTATGATTTTTTTATTGTCTTTTTTTTAATGTTTCATTACTCGTGAAGAAAAAAGGGTTGGTTGATTAATTCTTTAATTGATTAGGAGGGTTTTTAAAATTTAAAGTTCATATTGGAATTAATAATGGATGATTTGAAGAACTGTAAACTGATTTTTTTTTTTTTTTGAAGTTGTAATTTGTGAAATTGTGATTGAAGGTTTGAAATTATATGGAGAAAAAAAACCCAGTGATTTTGTGTTTCATTTGTGTTTATTCTTCAGATAAAAGAATAAATAAAAAAAGAGAAAAGAAAAATGGTGGTGTGGCGGCGGTGGAGAGAGATGGTGGTGCGGCGACGGTGGAGAGAGATGGTGGTGTGGCGACGGTGGAGAGAGATGGTGGTGCGGCGGCGGTGGAGAGAGATGGCGCGGCGGCCGTGGAAAGATGGTGGTGGCTGTGGTGTGGACAGATGGTGGTGGCTGTGGTGTGAAAATCTTCCCCTGTTTTGAAGCAACAGGGAGACGAAGAATCGAAGATGATGGGGGCTGTGTTCCCTTTTTTTTTTTCTTTTTCCTTTTTCTTTTTTTCTTTTTCTTTTCTCTTTTTTTATTTATTCTTTTATCTGAAAGTTTTGTGAATCGACGAAATTGCCCCCTCATTATCACGTGTGAGTTGCACGTGTGCAATTCAGGCCGAAATTTTGCTATAAATGGATTTTTTCATCATCGGTGCAACAATTTAACAAGTTCAGGTATGCTCGTGCAACTTTTTTCCGTTCAGGGGGTAAAGCGCAAAAACGTCCAAAGTTTAGGGGATTTTTTGCAGTTAACTCTTGAATTTATGTGGAACATCTTATCCGGTTAGAAATGCAAAATAAATAATTGTTTAATCATTACAAGAATTATTAATTGGGAATATATAAAAATATCTAAGGAAAAGGAAATAGGGGTTTTCGGATAATATTCGTATTTGGGTTCGAAACGAAGTCGCAGTCCCGTAATTACTTGGTGGATGTGTGTCGTGTGTCAAAAGTATGTATGAGTGTGTGTGTGTCTATGTGTGTGTATATGTATCTATGTGCGTAAAAAGTGTGTTGGAGTATGTGTATGTGTTTGTGAACGTGAATATGGGCAAGTATGAAAGTTCAGTATAATGAATTAACCATATAAGTTGAAATATTTAACCACATAAATCGTGATATTAAACAATATAAATCGAGATATTCAACTTCGTAACTGAAATATTAAACCACATAAATGGTGTCAAAACTGTAATAGATCCATTCGAATTTGTCCAAGTTCGATCCACTCTAAGACCATTCATATATGTCAATTTTCGATTCGTTTCCTTTTGGATCCGATCCACATAGATCCGGTCTACATGATAATATCTCACAAGAACAAATATAATATAAAAAAAAATAAAAAGAAAAAAAAATAGTAAATTAAAAAGTACTTAGATTAGAGGGGTATAATGGGAATTTCACAGTGTAGTATAGAAATACAATGCCGGTGTTCTTGTTTCAATTCCCAAATCCAAAAAAGCACACGATGTATTTATTCACTGCCATTCCCATAACGGGAATCAATCTTTATTCCTTCACCCATACTCCAAGATTCTGATCCTATATAATTCACCAACTCCTCTCCCGGATCGTGATTTACAGCCATGGCAGCAGCCTCCATACGCCTCCGCCGCCTCGGCGCAGTCGCCGCCGTTGCCGGAGGTGCCTACTTCACCGTACTCAGCAGCCCTCCGGTAGCCTCCAGTGACCGCGGCGCACCCCCCGGCGTCTCCACCGCCGCTGTAAGGCAGAGAATTACGGACCCTTTTGCCGCCGTCCCGTCTCGCGCCGTCCAGGAGTCGGCTCTGATCGGGTCCGGCGCGGCTAACCCCCTCGACGTCCTCGTCATCGGCGGCGGCGCCACCGGCTGCGGCGTCGCGCTGGATGGGGCCACGCGCGGACTCCGCGTCGGGCTTGTCGAGCGTGATGATTTCTCATCTGGGACTTCGTCGAGGTCCACTAAACTCATCCATGGAGGTCTGCAATTTTTCAATTTTCTCCTAACGTAATGTTTGTGCATTGAGTTGTACTTTGAGCTTTATGAATTGTACCTTGTTGTGCCCAAGCTAGGAGAGGCCGCATTAATACCTTTTTTGTGCTGTCACGTAGTATCTGTGACCCCATTTCTTCACGTGAACAAAAGTATCAGTATTTATTCCCAACAAGTTAAGATAGTGTGGTTCTAAAAGCGTTCTTAGTATCGATGTTTTATACTCGTCGAATATGAACTTAAATGCCATCTTAACTATACATACACACGTGTAAAAGAATGGCGGATGTAGAAGTGAAATCGGGTTCGCTGAGATACGTATTTTGTCGTAATAGCTTAGTTAGCATTGAAGCTATATTTGGACGATAAGCCTGGTGGATATGGAATTTCTGCCGAATTTGATTCTAGAATAATTTGTATCCTCGATAGTTTTTCAGACGATAAAATATTTAGATAGATATCGTGGAATAGGGAAATTGTGGTATTGATTAACGCCTGTTAGAGTTTCACGTAGTCGATTATGTTGTTTTATAGTTTTCCGTTTAGTTTACACCTGAGATCCTGTTGGTTAATGCTCATAACTTGATTGAGAGTGTAAACTCGATGACGTAGTTTGTTCGCTGCCGTATAAATGATAACTTGGAAGTTCTATTTCATCTTGCGTTTTTAGCCTCGCCTTTTCCATTCTCTCCAACTTTAATAGTTCGCGTTTCTATCTTGCTGATTGTATCCCCGGTTACGATGACTGTGACTTCCCTGAATACCATAATAGCATACTCTATATATTAATAACCTCGATTAAATAATAGTTTCTCTCGGTTCCGACTCGGTGAAAACGTGTTAAATTATTAACTCGATAATTCAATAATCGCTAAATTAATAGAATTTCCCTAGTCCCGACTGTATTAATTTATACAGGTTTAACTGTATTTCAGGAGTTCGTTATTTGGAAAAGGCCGTTTTCAACTTAGATTACGGGCAGTTAAAGCTCGTCTTCCATGCCCTTGAGGAGCGTAAACAAGTTATCGACAATGCCCCCCACCTCTGCCATGCTCTGCCGTGCATGACGCCATGTTTTAACTGGTTCGACGTGGTTTACTACTGGATGGGATTGAAAATGTACGATTTGGTAGCTGGCCGACGCTTGCTCCACCTGTCGAGATACTATTCGGCGCAGGAGTCGGTAGAACTCTTCCCCACTTTGGCAAGAAAGGGAAACGATCGTAGTTTGAAAGGAACCGTGGTCTATTACGATGGGCAGATGAACGATTCGCGTCTAAATGTTGCGTTAGCGTGTACCGCCGCTTTAGCAGGAGCTGCTGTGCTTAACCATGCCGAAGTGATATCTTTTCTTAGGGACGAGGGTTCTGGGCGGATAATCGGTGCTCGGATAAGAAATAATTTATCAGGTAAAAAGCATCATTTTCTCATCAACCAATAGCACTTCTATTGAGATATTCTTACAAATGCGTTGATTCTCTTTCTTTTATGTAATATTTAATGCTGGCATGTGATTTTTTATGTTCTTTACTGTCATGTAGATGTATATTATTTTTCACTATGGTATGCTTTTTAGCGTTATTTATCTATAGCAGAGGAGAAAACTATTTATTACTTTCACTAGAGTTTTGATGCATAAGCGTAAAAGAGCGATTGAAAATCGATTTAAATTCGCATTCGTTTTCGTTTGCTTCCATTCTCTGTTTCACTTTCTTCCTCTGTTTCAATATCTATTTTTTTCCATAAGAGTGCATTTGGATGGGAGGATTTGAGGGAAGGATTTCGAATCCGTAATAAAAAAGTCGATTGAGCTTGTTTGGATTGGGTGATTTGGCAAGGAATATCAACCCGTAACTCTCGTTTTCATTTGTTTTTTGAGCAATTGTGGTGGATTTGAAATCTCTTCCCCTATAGAGTCGTTTCAAATCCTTCAATCCAAACGCAGCCTTAGTGTAATTGTTTGTCTCTTGGAGCCACTCAATGCAATAAGTCTGCCCTTTAAAAATTACTATTATTATTATGTCAATACGTGCAGGCAAAGAGTTCGATACATACGCAAAAGTGGTAGTAAATGCGGCTGGTCCTTTCTGCGATTCCGTAAGGAAGATGGTAGACGAAGAAGCAAAGCCAATGATATGTGCAAGCAGCGGTGTCCATATCGTGCTACCCGATTACTATTCTCCAGAAGGAATGGGATTAATCGTTCCCAAAACGAAGGATGGACGTGTTATCTTCATGCTTCCGTGGCTAGGGAGAACAGTTGCCGGCACCACCGATTCAAACACCAGTATTACGATGCTTCCGGAACCTCACGAGGATGAGATTCAATTCATATTAGATGCCATCTCCGATTATCTAAACATTAAGGTTTGTGAATCTTCATAAACTTGAATTTTTCATCATCTCGACTTGTTTCGAATTTGTTAGTGCAATTTTTTTTTTTTTTTGAAATTGGTTAGAGAAACGATCACGGATGGTTGACTCTCTTTCTCTTTCTTTTCTATCTTTCTTTCGTTCTTCAGCCTTAGTTTTGTTCAGATATTCGTTTTCGATGTGGGGATAATTAATTTTTAAGAATGATTATCAGGTCCGACGAGTGGATGTTTTGTCAGCATGGAGCGGCATTCGACCACTGGCAATGGACCCCACCGCTAAGAACACCGAGAGCATCTCCAGAGACCATGTTGTCTGTGAAGATTATCCGGGTTTAGTTACAATCACCGGTGGAAAATGGACCACTTATAGAAGGTACAAAAATAAACCTAAACCACTTGTTCGTTTCTTACAGATTTTCACATATGCTTTTTCCAGTTACCGTTTCTTTTTTTCGTTTTTTTTTTTTGCTTACTTAAAACCACTTACAGTATGGCAGAGGATGCCCTTGATGCAGCTATAAAGTCTGGAAAGTTGAGTCCGGCAAATGAGTGTGTAACATCTAATCTACAGCTAATCGGTGCTGATGGGTGGGACCCGGCATCTTTCACTGTACTAGCGCAGCAATATGTGCGTATGAAGAAATCGTACGGTGGGAAGGTTGTTCCTGGTGCAATGGACACTGCTGCTTCGAAGCATTTATCACATGCTTACGGGACTTTTGCTGAACGAGTAGCTGCCATTGCTCAGGTTTTATTTTTCTCTACGTTTTTTCGTTTTTTAATTACTGCCACTTTTATGAGTATACATATTTTCATTTTTTTCTTCTTGATTACTTCTTGGCTTTGATTATTCTTCTTCTGAAGTTGAGGTATACGCTTTCGTGTTCATTTTGTGAATTATAAGATAATGTCCACCTCTTTTTTCTTGTCTGACACGACGTGTAATTTGTGTGGACCGAAACATATTAAATAGTTTTTAAAATCCGATCGCCTATTTCGACCCCCATCCCCAACCCCATAGTGGCGGAGCCTGAATATTGTATTCATTGGGGTTAGGGGTGAATTTTCGATTTCCACCGATTCCGATTCGAAAAATTTCTGATTTTCGGGACATTATTTTTCATTCCAAATTTCGATTTCCAATTTTTCCGAGTATTTTTTGACCGAAATTGGAATAACTCCGATCAGATTTTATTTTCCAGAAATAACTACAAAAATTCGATTTTTTTACCGAATTACACTTGTAATGTCAATGTTATTATGCACTTTATATTTTAGGTGACTAAAATTCGAATTTTCCGATTTCCGAGCATTTTTTTCATTCCGATTTCCATTTTTTTTCAGAACAGAATTAGAATTAGTTTTTCACTTTGAAAAAAAAATCAGAATTTTTCCGGACGTGCTAATTCCGATCCTATCCTTCCGATTTCCACCACTTTCTGGGGTTAAATACACACAACAATTTCCAGCTAATCGACAATACTACACTACTTGAAAAATAACAAGTCCAAATAGTATAGGTTTTAGATAAGTGATCGGGGGGCCATGACCCCCCAAAATATATGTCTAAGCCTCGTTAAATTCCTTATGTATTATGCTTCTTCAGAATGAAAACCTGGGGAAGAGACTAGCCCATGGATACCCAATCCTGGAAGCTGAGGTGGCATACTGCGCTCGTCACGAGTACTGTGAGTCAGTAGTTGACTTCATAGCAAGAAGGTCCCGTCTTGCTTTTCTCGATACCGATGCAGCCAATAGGGCAGTGCCACGTATCATTCAGATATTGGCTGCTGAACACAAATGGGACAAGTCGAGGCAAAAGCTGGAATTACAAAAAGCCCAAGAATTTCTCGAGACTTTCAAATCATCGAAAAATGCCCAGTTTCATGACGGCAAACACAACTAATATTATGTAAGCTCGACTTTTTTTTTACTTTTTTTTGAAATTTCATAGTAAAATTCGATTTTTTTTTTAAATTTTTTTTGCCTTGCTAACGTATATTTTTTTCTGCGATGCAGATTCGACGAGTTTTTTTTTTATGTCAAAAAGTGCTTATACTATTAGCCAAAAGGTTTATAGTTCTTCTTCCCCTTTGAATTTATGTTCGAATAGTTTGGCTACTGAGTATCCTTTTTTCCTAGTATACGATATTATTTCTTTCTAGTTCGAACCTATCTTAATTACTACGCACACAGATATTTTCGATTTTCAAAATGTGTATGGTTGTCGTTCCGGTACGACTCGTACCGATTGGTCTTCGTTTTGTAATACGCAATTTATTCTCCTACCTTTCGACTTGGTAAGGAGGATACAATAAAAGTTGCACATTCATTTTAACTAAAATTAAATAAAAATACAGAGTTTGATTTGAATAAATGGATAGATGGTTAATGCTGACCTGTTTTTTTTTTTTTAAATCATTTATTTCAATAATGTAGTAATTGTAATTTTCTAAATTTTGATTTTATTTCTTTTAATTATTAATCCCTCTAAACATTAAAGGCAAAATGGAGGACTTGTGCCACAACTGGCATGTGTAATTACTACTAATTAAGACAATTAGCCTAACTATTTATTGCTAATAAATACAAATGACTATTATTATTAATAGTTTTTTATTTATCAAGTTTTTATGTATATAAAATACCAATATTTCAAAATTAGGATTTTAATTTAATTAAACATCTTATATATATATATATATATATATATATATATATATATATATATATATATATATATATATATATATATATATATTATATTTTTTATAATCTCTTAAACAAAAAATAAAAAAATATTAAATATTATTAATAATTTGTAAATTTAATTAGTTTCTTTAAAAAAAAGAATCATCTTAATTAAAATTTAAAAAAAGACTCCATTTTTAAGTCAACGCCAACTAGCCCATGCAACCAAAGCACACAGCCGAAGAACATTTCATCGCCAGCGCACACCGAAGAGAAGAAGAAGAAGAATCTTTCACCTCAGCACCACTGTTCATCAAGTAAGATTCTCTCGACAATTATCATATAATCTTCCTTTATTTACTGCGAAATTCACCCCTTTAATTTTCATCATTTATCGACGCAGGAATCAAGAATTTATAAAGGAAAAGAAAAAAATCAAGAATCTGATTTTGGGGTTTCTGGGTTTTACACAGAGCGAATTGATTTTTGATTTCTACCAAGAAATTAAATGGGTCGGAAGGGAAACGAATCGGAGCCGACCCGGTGGGGTTTCTTGATTCTCCTCTTGATGGGTTTGGTATCTTTTTCCGTTGTCTACATTTTCATGACATCTGTATTAAGACCACCGTCTTCATTATCATCCAATTCAAAGGTTTATTCTTTGGAATATTCTGCTGGAATTGCCGAGGGTTACGTCGAACAATCGGAATTGAAATCGAATGGGGGTTGCTGTAAAGGGATTGAGAATGTTGAGCTTTGGGGGGATGCTGTGAAATGGGGCACTGATTTCAAGTTCAATTCGTCCGAACAATGTTGTCGGGCTTGTAAGAAGATGTGCACGGGGAACGACGGGCCTTGTCTTTGCGATTCGTGGGTTTTTTGTGGGAATAAAGAGGCTTGTGGGGACAAATTCGGTGAGGTAAAGAAAATTCGTTCATTTTTCTTAATATCGTCGATTTACGTTTTATTTGATGTTCTTGAATGTGTAAAACGTGTTCGATTGTTGGATTGGATCATGTGGTTTGCGATGATCACATGGATTGTATTGGTTCTTCACTACAAGAGAAAAATGGCGGTTGTCACACTTTTATGGTGACCGCGTTTTGTACGTTGTACTAATAGCTTCTTGTTCTCGTCACTAAATTCCTTGTTTTTGTCGTCGCTAAAATAGGTGTCGTGACTCGAAAGATTATGATTTTGTAGTGATTTGAGAGTATTGAATTTGATTAAATCATGCAACTCATTCGTCGCCTAGATTACACTTGATGGAAAATAAGTGGCGTGTATACTATAGAGCATATGTTTCTTGTGACGAGGAATTTGACTGTCTTAAGATTTAACAATGTGATTAAACAATATATCTACTTCGGTATTTTTTTTAATTAATTATTTTTTTTCGGGTTTTAGTGCTGGTTGAAGAAACAGAAGGATGTTTTGTTTCCCGATAGGCAGGACGGTGGAAATAAAGTTATGTGGACATCTGGCATTATTTTTGGACGAGGAAAGGTACACGACGTCATCATTAAATATGCCCTCGATTATTTTCACTACTATATAACCTTTGACAAATGATTGCTGTATTATTATTTGTCGTATGGCGGGTTTGTAAAATGTATCTTTGTTTCTTTCTGAAGTAATATATTTTACGGAGTTAGTGATTTTTTCGTTTGGATTAACGATTCTATCGGTTTTCTTTTTCTTTCCTTGAAGGGCATTGTTGGATTTGAAACAGAGTACGGTACTCTACACGTCAAGGTACATTTATATATATACGTAACCGTTTTTTTTTTTTGTTGTTGTTTTGTTTTTGTCTGGATCTTTTTGGTCGAACGAGCATATTTTGACGTTATATTTTTACGATAAAAAAATAGAGCTTTACACATCAAAATCCGTTTTAAGTTTCTTGATACTAACTTTAAGGGAAAACTAATGCACAACGGATACGAAAAAAAAAATAAAAAAAAAATCGTGAAAGACGAGTCGAGTAGAAGATTGGGATAGTTTTATTGAATGTTCGTTTTCTTTTCTTTTTTGTCAGCTTTTGCCCGATTGTTCTCCACATTCTGTTGCGTATATCACAGAGTTATTAACTCTTCGTCACTGTGCTGGTTGCCACTTTTATCGAGCAGAAAGCCGAGGTCAATCTTGGGATATTAATGGAAACCACATTAACGATGTAAGCCTATACGACACTTTTCTATAGCTATACGTTCATTCGTTCTAAATAAAGATTTTTTTCTTTTAAATAAAAAATGTTGGATTGGTGACTTATCGGTGCGTTTAAATGTTTTCTTAGGCTTCGTTTGGGCCACCGTTTGCTCTAATTCAAGGAACGCTAGAAGCACAAGGAACGGCATTTAACGGTATCCAAACAGAGCACTGTCCGATTGTAAGGAGGGGCTCGATTGCATGGGTGGGGTCCGGTCCGGAATTCTTTATAAGCTTAGCCAATCACGAAGAGTGGAAAAATTCGTACACCGTGTTTGGTTTTGTTCTTCCGGAAGATATGGTTATTGCCGAGAAAATTGCTCAGCTTCCCACGAAACCGGACGTTTGGAGTAACATTAATGTCTCGGTTTTGGAGACGAATGTTCCGTTGAAAATTCAAAGAATTAAAATCGGCGACGGTGACGAAAATCTAAGTGCTAATTAAAAGAAAAAAATAGGTAACCGTTTGTAACTTTTTTTTGTTTTTTTTTTGTTTTTAATTCGAGCAATTTATTTTGTATGTTGAACTAGGCACCTTTTTTTGACATTTCTAGATATTTTATTCCTGAAAAAAAGAAATAAAATAAAGAAAAATAATAATTTTATTTACTTATATTCGTTATGTTTTGAGTGATTATTACAAAATATTAGTTATATTCGAAGATTATTTATATGTGTGATTTTTAGGATTTTTAATTAAGATACTATAATTGCACAATTGGGCTTTTTATGGGCCCGTTTCTTCTGCCTTAATGGGCCTTATGGACCTTTTAGTAATTTTCATTTATTTTTGGACTAAAAGTTGATTTTGAGCTTGATTCATTAAGCAAAAAAACCAATATTCGAGGCAGATTATCTATTGAATTAGTTCATTTTATTATGGGAAAATTACACTCTCCGTCCCTCAAGTTTACTTATATTCTGTATTTGGTCCTCCATGTTCACGAAAAAACAAATTTAGTCCCTAATGGTTCAGTAATATAACACTTTTGACAATTTCCGTTAGTTTGCCGTTAGTACTAACGGAATCAAGCATGTGTTTATCACTCTCTTAGCTGACGGACTAACGATAAATTAACTGAAATGACCAAAAGTGTCAAATTGTTGAAACATCGGGGAATGAATGTGTTGTTTGAGAACATGAGGATCAAATGTGAAACACGTGCAAATTTTAGTGGTGAAAATTGTGATTTTCTTATTTTATTATATGATTTTTAAGATGAAGGTAAATACCCAATTCCGTGACTAAATTCATAAGGGGGTGTTTTTATAGTTATGAAATAGGTAGGGGGTTAATCAGCAATTTAGTCATTCCATAAGGGAGATAAGTTAATCAACTTGTAGATATATGGACTATGGAGAAAAAGGGTAACGTAGGCAAGTTTTTGCCATTATTATTTTTTTAATTCCTTAAAAAAAAGGGAAAATTAAAATGTGAACGTGTTTTAGCCGTTCGATAATCGTAAATTCTTGGACCTAAGATCTATCTTCGTCATACAAGAAAACCCTTTTCGATAGTCAGAAGTGAATTATATTACTAACTCCTATTATCTAGTCAATCGAATTTAATAATATTATCAACACGATGCTAAAAAAAAAGATATTCTTTTATTCCATTTTTTTTAAATCAATTTCACATTTATTTATTTAAAGATTAAGGAATAAACACTAGCATTTGAGGGTCAATGATTAGCAAGAATATTTAGCATATGTAATGAAATGAAGAATAGTAAGTGCAGGCAGGCAATGTTTACAGCCTGTTTTGGGCCGGCAACCCATGTTGTTTGCCACATGTTTACATTCTATGTAATATTATCTAGAACGAGACGATCAGTGGCGGAGTCAGTATGAGGTTTGAGGGGTCGTTGCCCCTCAACATTTCTTAAATTTATATTATTTATTTTATATAAAATTATTAAAAAAAAAAGTATATAATATCAATAACAGACCTCCTTGGATTATTTTAATATTTAAATTTATGGCTAGGCTAATGAAGACAAACCTATGATCTTCATATTATTATACACCAATCATTATGCATTATCATATAATTATTGAATTCTCTTTTATTTTATTTATGCCTCAACAAAGCGTCAATCTTTCTATAAAGTTTTTTAATATTTCTAAACAAGAGCATTGCAAAATAAATGGGTAGTAAAAAAGACCATTTAATATACAAATTTGGGTAAAAAATCGATATTCTGTGTAATAAGACGAAAAGTTTAAGCTGCACCGAGCAAACTATGTGCACCGAACTTGACCTCGAAAAATATTATTAAAAGGGATTGAGTCGAATTGTTAGATGGCACACTCTTCTTAATACTTCAATTAGATCACACTTAGGCGAGAAAAAAAATAATAAAAAAAAAAAATACTTGTTGATAAGGGTGTCTTGAGATCAAATTAAATCCCCACATTTGATATTTTGAGATCTTCGTATTTTTTTTATTTAATTAAATTGAGATGTTTGTATTTGGTGATTTATTGAGAAGACTTGACATTTTCACATTTTGTACAAAAATGTAAAAATACATATTTGTGTTTTATTACAACTTGGCAGGTATGTGGGGCCCGCTCCCTGTCTTATACGATTGTCTGTACTGTACTTTGATTTCTGGCATAAAAAACTGCTGTACTAATGAAAGGAACTGATCATGTATAAATAAGCTTCAATTTTTTCAAAGTATTTTTTTTTTTTAATATTGAAATTTGAATGAATGTTTTGATTGAAAGTAATAATTTAAAGGGTAAATTACGGCCACTTGTGATGTAAAATCAAATTAAAAAAAATACTATTTTGTTTGGATAATTATAATCACCCCTTAACGATGAATTTCTTACACGTTCATTCTTACGGTGTTAATTTAGTAAACTCTTCTAGATTATGTTAATATTCTTCAGTTTGTACTCGTTTTACTCTATTCGAGCTCTTTATGTTCAAACTTCAAACGAGATGATAATAAAATGTGTCTATTGGCTTGTAAATATCAGATTGTGATGCATCAAAAGCTACATTTTTGCACAAAACGAGTACAAACTAGAAAACATTCCACGAAATCGTGAAGATTCTATTGAATTACACCATAACGGTGAACGTGTAAGAAAATTCATAATTAAGGAGGGCTGATGTAATTATTCAAACATAAGGAGTTTTTTCATAAGTTGACACTACCCCAGAGAGTTGACCGTAATTTATCCCTTATCTATTTATTTATTTTCCTCATAATTGTGGGTCGACCCGAAAATTAATAAAAGATACCAACCATAACAAAGGCCTTAAAATTTTATTTTATTTCAATTTCTTTTTTTCAAAAACAAAATTAATTTTTTTTCAAGAAAACAAAATTGAAAGAGTACTACGAAAAGCAGACACAGAAGTGAAGAAGAAAAAAATGTCGGTGAATATAAACAAGAAGAAAAGACAGTAAACAAGGAAATTGAAAAAACAGAAGTTTTTTTTTTTTTTTTTTGTTTGCTGTTGAATCTTTCTCCTTCACAATCGTCGTCGTCGTGCCGGCCTCAATGTTGAAACCTTCACCCAAATCACTCTCTCTCACACACACTTCACACACTCGTTACCATCACAAAACCTGTCAACGTGACAGAGAAATCTTTCTTCCGCTTTTGTGTGTGTGAACAGAGAAAATAAAAATGGCGTCTTTGGGCAGCGTGGGAAGAAATTCGCACAAGTTTGAGCGGCCCCCCTTCAACACCTCTTCTTCGTCGAGTTCTGCTCCGACGAATTCTTCTTTGAAAAGCAATGGCGGCGGCGGCGGTGCGCAAGGGCAGCAGCATTCTGCCCGCCCGAAAGGTCCCACTTCGAATTCAAGACGCTCAATCACACCCACTTCAAGAACTCGTGCTCTGCCTGTTGATTATGACCCAGGTTTCTTCACTTTCTTACCCTTCTGTCTGTGTGTGTGTGTGTGTGTGTGTGTGTGTGTGTGTGTGTGTGTGTGTGTGAGAGAGAGAGAGAGAGAGAGAGAGAGAGAGAGAGAGAGAGAGAGAGATGCATGCTCATGAATATTAAAAATTGCAAATTTTGGTTCTTGATTGTGTAATTGTGCTTACATTTTGTGCCAAGAACTGATGTTTTTATTTCCTTATTTCAGACAATAAGGTGTATTTGAACTAACGTGTGTGTGTGTGTGTAGATAGATATAAATATAGTGACTGGTGAAATCATTTCTCTTTGCAATTAGGAAGAGCAGTTGTTACTTGTTAGTATTACAGCACCGTTGCTCGATTTACGATATAAATAAAATGCCCTTTTGTTTGTTGTATGCAACAGAATCCGAAAGAGTGAGAGTTGCTGTAAGACTTCGACCTAGAAATTCCGACGACCCTCCAGATGCCGATTATGCCGAATGTGTCGAAATTCAGCCCGAGGTAATTTTACACTTTCTATTTTATTATCTCGGTTTTTAGCCCCGTTTTCTTGATTTTCAATAGATTAATCAAAAAAACATCCGCTCCATTATATGCAGCTCAAAAGATTGAAGCTAAGAAAGAACAATTGGAGTTCCGAGGCATACAGATTCGACGAAGTATTTACCGAAACTTCGTCTCAAAAACGTGTTTACGACGCTGTAGCAAAGCCTGTTGTTGAGGTAGATTCGAAAACCTATTTTACAGGCAATATATTCAATTTTTTTTTTGTTTAAATTAAACAAGAAAAAAAAAGTGTTTTTGAAAATGTAATCGATATTCTTTCTGCAGAGTGTTCTGGAAGGTTATAACGGCACGGTTATGGCGTACGGTCAAACGGGTACAGGCAAGACTTACACACTCGGCAGAATCGGTAAAGAAGATCCATCCGAAAGAGGAATGATGGTTCGATCTTTAGAGGATATTTTAGCTTCTATTTCTGCTACAGATAGTGTCGAAGTCTCGTATTTACAGGTATTATCGAGATTGTGTTTTTGCTCTTAGCCTTTGTTATTTTATTATTATTTTTTTCTAAATGAAAATAATTTGTATTGGTCGACAGTTGTACATGGAATCGATTCAAGATTTGCTCGCTCCGGAAAAGACGAACATCCCAATAGTGGAAGATGCCAAGACTGGAGAAGTATCGGTGCCCGGAATCGAAATTATTAAAATACGAAACCTCGATCACTTCTTGCAAATACTGCAGCTCGGAGAATCCAACCGCCATGCTGCTAATACGAAGATGAATACAGAATCTTCACGCAGCCACGCAATTCTCACGGTACAGTACTTAAACATTTTTCCTGTCATAGTACAAAATAGAAGTTCCGTTTTTCGTGTCTTGTTTTTTTTTTCTATTTTTTTTTTTATTTCCTTGCTATGTATAGGTTTATATACGTAGATCTGGAAACGAGAAAGAAGAAACAGAAGCTAGCAATGGAAATCATGTGCCGACTGTTCGGAAGAGCAAGCTGCTGATCGTGGATCTTGCGGGATCCGAACGAGTCAACAAATCAGGTTCGTTTTTTTTTTATATATATATAATATTTGTTGCGAATTTAAATATATGTTGTCGATTTATTTCGTTTTTCAATTTTGTTATAGGGAGCGAAGGGCACTTGCTCGAGGAAGCTAAATTCATCAATCTATCACTTAGTTCACTAGGAAAATGCATAAATGCATTGGCCGAAAACAGTCCGCATATTCCGATTCGAGATTCTAAGTTGACAAGGTTGCTTCGCGATTCGTTTGGCGGTTAGTTTTTTTTGCTTTTTTTTCGATTTTCATTTTTTTCCGTATGGATACCTTTAACTATAAAGGATATGTATATATTGTGAATATATTAAATATAGATATAAAATGTAATAGGTTCTGCAAGAACTTCACTCATAATAACAATCGGGCCATCTTCTCGTCATCATGCTGAAACTGCAAGCACTGTAATGTTTGGGCAACGGGTGCGTTTTTAAGTCTTTATTCTATTAACGAGATTTAAAAATAATTTTTATATTTAATAAATAATTTTCCAATCGAAATATTGAAATATGTTGTCGATTTGTGCAGGCAATGAAAGTTGTGAACACAGTAAAGCTGAAAGAAGAATTCGACTATGAAAGCTTATGCAAGAAGCTCGAGTCTCAAGTTGATCGTCTCTCTGCAGAGATTGATAGGCAACAAAAGCTGAGAGAGAACGAAAGAGGAGAACTGAATAAATTGCTCGACGCATTCGAGAATTCTTCCGCCGAAGCAGAAAAGCGTTTTCTTGCGAAATCCGAGGTATTTTGTGTCAAAAATTTATTTTTGGCTTTTGGGGGCATTTCTGTCATTTTGTTTGCTTATAATCATTGTCTTGTATTGGTTGCAGTTGTTACAGAAAGAGAATGCTCGATTAGCGTCGGAAATGAAAGAAGTACTACAAGAATTGGATATGCAGAAACAACAGAACAAAATGTTGATTGATGAGGTGGCACGCTTGGTAACGAGCGTGAAGAATACTAAGGTATTATTCTTTTTTTTTTTTATATTACTCATCATAGAATCGAAGAAGCTACGTTATAGCTTTTATCGATTTACAGTCTTTGGAGGAGGAAAATGCTCGTTTGGAGTCGGAGTTGAATGATGTAATAAAAGAGCTCCAAAATCAGAAAGATCAAAATATTATCATGCACGACGAGGTGAAGCGCATGGAGATGAATTCGAAGCACATCAAGGTAATGAAAAAAGTATTAACAATTTCAATTTCGTATTTTCATCTTCTTCGTCGTCTTCTTTTTTTTTTTTTTTATAATAATAAAAAAATATTTTTGCATGTTCCGAAAATGTAAAAAGCTATTCGTTTATCTGTTAGTAGCAACAGAAGCAAGATAATTCGGCATATCAGAATGTACTAGCTGAAACAACGCAAATGTACGAGGGGAAAATAGCCGATTTGATGAAGCAAATATCCGATATTCAAGTGTCGTTGGAGGTAAATAATTACATGCTAATAAAATTTGATTTTAAAATTTGCATTTTTTTTTGTCATTATGAATAAACTGGTATTTTTTTTGTCTTAATTGTGACAGAAAAACGAGGTGGAAAATTCTAGGTATCACAAAGCACTTGTAGACACAACAAAGATGTACGAAAATAGAATAAATGAATTAAATCGACAGTTTGAAGAAGAGCGTGCTCGTACAGGAGAAATCGAAGAAGTGAATTCGACAAAAGAGCTTTTGAAGGAGTATCAAAATTCAGTCCAGGTGAATTTTTTTAACTTGCATGCATGACTTTTGTGAAACATCGAGCGAGCGTATATTTTTATTTATTTTGCTATTTTAGGTTAATGCAAAGAAAGAGATAAACGAGCTTCAAATGACATTGCAAGAAATGAATCAGCTACACGAAACAACTGCCAACGAACTTCGACTATTAAGTGTCGAATTCAAGAATCTAGAATCGGAAAAGGTATATATATACATATATATTTATTTATTTGTTTATTTTTTTTTTTTTTTTGTAATTAGTAAAATTTATCCTTCTTTGTTAGGCAACACTAGAAAACGAACTTCACTATGTGAAACAATCACTTGAAAAAGAGGAAAAGCGAAGAAAGGAATCGGAAACGGAGCTGCTTAACGTGATGAAGGGTGTTCCCGAAAGCGAAGAAGACTTTGAGGTGAAATGTGATTTCGAAAATTTAATTTATAAATTTTTATTTGAATCATTCTTGAAAATAAAAATAAAAACGAGATTTCGAAAAATTTAAACTTTCCTGCAGGAAAAGGTATCTTATATGCATGAGCATTTAACCAAAAAGTTTTCGTCTTTACAAAATCCGAACAATTCTAATCGGACAAGAGAAACCATCCTCAGCCAGAGAAACACCATCACCAAAATATGCGAAGAAGGCAAGATTCTTCCGTTTTTTCGTTTCTTTATTAATTTTTTTTTTGTTAAGAATATATATAACATTATCAATTCAATTCGTGTTTTACCGAACAGTTGGTCTCCAAAAGATACTGTCTCTTTTAGAATCGGGAGATTTAGACGTCCAAATTCCTGCTGTGAAAGTTGTGGCTAATCTTGCAGCAGAAGGTATGTATTTCGAGTAGTATAGATTTCCCACACAAATCACACGTATATATGCGGGTGTGTGTAAATATGCGTCGTCTGTACATAGACATTTACGAACGCTAGCATAGAGTAAAAAAAAATCAGTCTTTCTGCTACATTTATTCAGTCTTCAAGCATCGTAGTCGTAACTTAGTCTCGATTTTTTTTTTTAATGATTAATAATAATTATATTTTCAGATAGCAATCAGGAAAAGATCGTGAACGAGGGTGGTTTAGATGCACTGCTAATGTTGGTGGAGTCATCCAACAATACGACTATACTCAGAGTTGCTTCTGGCGCCATAGCTAATTTGGCTATGAACGGTACCCGTAAATCCATATTTGCTTCCGATTTTTTTTTTATAATAAATAATATATGCTTCTTCTAAGGCCGACGATAATCGCTCTCGAGTACACCTCAACACACACTTGTTTTTTTGTGTCCAGCTATGAATCAAGGTCTAATAACAAACAAAGGAGGTGCTAAACTTCTTGCAAGTGCTTCTTCCAAAACGGACGATCCTCAAACTCTTCGTATGATCGCTGGAGCAATTGCAAATTTATGCGGAAATGGTAAACTCGAGATACGTGTTTTTTCCTTCTTTTTTTTTTGGTACGAAAGTCACTTCGTTTTATGCTTTAGCTACACACATTAAAAAGTGGTCTCATCTCTCAAATCATAGATTTTTTGGATTAAATAACCAAAAAAACCCCTGAACTAAGTTCAAATTACCAAAAAACCACTCAAGTATTCATAACGAGACCTGCAGTGGTTTCTGATAGTTATCGATGCATGCTTTTTTTTTTTTTAATAAATTAGCCATAGCGCAAGGGGTTTATCGTAGTTTACCCAAGATATTTCTCCCGTTGGCTCTATTTATTTTATTTTTTCGTGCTGAAAAAAAGTATATTATTAGTCATCTCGACTTTTTATATTTAATGCAGGGAAGTTACATGTGATATTGAAAGAAGACGGAGCAATAAAAGCTCTATTAAGAATGACGAGATTAGAAAACACCGATGTTATTGCACAGGTTGCTAGGGGTTTGGCTAACTTCGCCAAGTGCGAATCGAGGAGGTTCATGCAAGGTAACTTATATATACTTGCACGTGCATTACGTTTGTTTCTCTCTCACACACGCATCCACATGTATGTGTGCGTGAAATAATAACGATGAATCTCGAACATTTTCAGGCCATTGGAGGAGTCGTTCGCTTCTGATGGACGATGGAGCTCTTTCGTGGCTGGTGGCTAACTTGAACACCACTTCTACTTCGACCAGACGACACTTGGAACTTGCTATTTGTCATTTAGCTCAAAATGGTATAAAGCTAATCTTCTTTGTTTTTCGTTTTTGTTTCCTCTCTTTATTTATGTGATTTAACTTATCTGATAAGTTGTGTTTTAAGAGCCGATAAGTTGTTACATTTTATTTTTTAAATTAATTTTATTTGTCACTCATTATAAGATCTTAATAATTAAAAAGGTGGGGTAAATGTATTTTTTTCCTAACGAACTTAAAAGCTCTACAGCGGCTTGCTTTTTGAATTACTAAGATCTTTTAAGAAAAAAATTATCAAGCACTTTTGAAGAGCTTATAAGCTCTTAAACAACTTATAAGCTTAGTTCATTAATTTGGACTTTGTCTGAAAAAACGGAACATGTTTGGTTTTACAGAGGAGAATGGGAGAGATTTCATAAGCAGTGGTGCTCTGAAAGAACTGATCGAAATATCGGAGGGGTCCGCGAAAGAAGATATACGAAACTTGGCGAAGAAGACACTAAGATTGAGTCCTTTATTTCGAAAAGAATTGCGTTCGGAATGAACATAGCATAAGTTTGTAATACAGAATTCCACTCCCTGTGAGGTAGTTTATAATATACAGAGTCTCACAGTTACATACTCAAAATACTTGTTCTGTTTATATATTTTTGGTACATAAATGTATATTGTTGTAAAATAGTCTCTTTAATCTAGCTCTTTGGTTTGATAATTATGGTAATACATAAAAACGTAAATAACGAGAATAAAAATACAGAGAAAGTAACAAGGAGGGGAGATTCTCATTTATATACGTGTAAATCACCGGATATTACATGGGAGGGAAGTTATGAGGGAAATTATCGTTTATATAAATTTCATGCAACTCTAATTTAATATTTGGTTCTTCGTTATGTTTTGTCTTATGAAAGTCATAAACGGGTATGAACATGTAGTATATGAATTCCTACTCAATAAATTATAAATATTAGGGCAAATTACAGCCACCCCTAAGGTATGGCAAAATTACAAAAAGACCCCTCTTATTTGGGTAATTACAGTAAGACCCCTCCTTTTAAATATTTTTACATAAAATTTATTTAATTCGGTAATTTACCGAACCAAATTGTATATTTAGTTCGGTAAACGGTATGAAATGTTGGCATGCCGAAATTTCAGTTCGATTTTACAGAATTAACATCCTTAAATTTACCTCTGAAGGAGTCTTTTCGTAAGATAATACATAGTTTACGGGTGGCTGTAATTACCCAAACAAGAGGGGAATTTTTGTAATTTGACCATAACTCAGGGGTGACCGTAATTAGCCCGAAATATTAAAATATAGTTATTCCTACTTTTGGCAAAACAGTAAATTTAGAAAGAAAGAAAAAGAAAATCATAACACCAATTTGAATAATACCCATATAAATCACGAGTAATCTGATTGAGAATATTGTCATCAGTACATCGATTTCATGTTTCGACCACTCAGCTACAAACAAACAATCACGAACTCCATATCTACATAGCAAAATCCACATTGAAACCGAAGAGGGAAAACAAAAAAGCGCCACAGATTACAAAACTGGATGTACATAAAATGAAGAAAGAATAAGAAACGAGCTTACAAGGTTCTTCGATGTTGTTCTTGTCCAAAGAATTAATCACAAAATATACCCGTACTCGACAATATATACCGAATGTTGGAAATCGCTTCACTCTTCATTTACATGCAGAGTTTAGTGCACAAACACTGAATTGTTTTTTTTCTGCAGCCATAATAACTACTACCCCAATAGTCCGCTCGAGGTGATTTTTTTTTTTTTTTTTCACGATTTTTTTGCTGCTAATATTTAATTGGGGAAAATTTCTCTGAGACGATCATGAGCATCATCGGAAATTTCCCTACCTGGGACCTGGACCTTCAAAAGGTTTTTGTACCTGCCAAAATAAAGTACAAGGTTAAAAGATGACAGGCAAATTTGTTCGAAATGTTGATGGGATTGATAAGATTGATTGAATGGGTACGATTATACTATCCATATAAGATAATATGTCATTATCTTATGTTTGGCAGTTGTGATTATACAATCCTTGTACTTGGGTAAAAAAAAGGACTTGAAAAGGTGTCACAAGAACTCACTCTGTAGCGGTGAAAAGGTGCTGGTGCTCGGAAATAAATGCCACCAATGCCTGGAAAATGCAATTTTGTTAGCTAAAAAGCGTATTGAAGACAAAAACAGAAGGAAAGCATGAAAAGAACTGCTATAGATACATTTGTTTTGAGACAATTTACCTCAACGGGCATGTTTAATAATTCATAGTATGTCCTGACACGATCTAATCTCATCTGTACGACTTCACTATCGATTGAAGAGATAGCAGCCAAAGCCTAAAAAGAAGATCAGAGAAAAGTATCAGTTCCACTAGTTCATTCTAGCTACAAACGATGCATTCAGCAAAGTAATAAAATGCTTGAAAAGAAGAGGCAACTTTGTGGCATTCACTATAGGTTGGAATTAATACCTATCAGATGTCAATACATGCTTATGTATTTATGGAAAGTTATAGATACAGTAACTTCACTAAATACTGACATGGAAAACTAAAAATCATTTCAATTCGGTTGATTCGTGTTTTCAGCATTAGTTTTCATGACAATCAGAAAATTCCGAACTTAAATGCGCAGAGCTGTCTAACAGCTTCAACAGTCCCCAGAAGCAGTCTCTGAGGGGAAGATAATAGAGAGGGACGGGTATGAAGTGCACAAACCTGTTCCAGTGCTATTGAATTACGACAAATTTGCTGAACTCCAAACAGGTTGATTGACTTCATTTCAGCCAGAGCCTGATAAGGAACAAAGATATCTTTCATAAGTGATAAATTCAATTTCCACATAATTAGTCCAGCAAAAATTTGAAGGCATGTACATGTGATAACAAACCTTTATCGACAAATTAGCTGCAATACCGCATATTCCCCCAAATATGTAGTTACGTTTCACATCCGCAACAAATGGTATCATTTCCTCATCTCGGCGTGTTATCTATGTTACATGAAGAAAAAACCATCATGTGATTTGGTTATTTTACAGGAATAGGCCACATCACAAATAGTTGTGTAAATCAAATTCCATTTTTGTTATAGTTTTCATGAAATGGGGGTAAAAATGGAAAAGGCAGCTTTTTTTTTTCATAAAAATCTGAATGTAAGCATTAAACTTTAAAGAATATGGATTTTGGTGCTGTAAATATGTTTGAGGAATCACATTCACATATTCATCTCTGTATTGGAAAGGAAATGAACACGAACAATGGGGCACTACATTAACCGAATCTGACGTATTTTCCTTGAAAAGATGACAATGGAACAATGAAGTACAAGTGCAAAAATGCCTAGCTGTATGCCACATCTGAAATTGTTTTGTTCGATAATAACCCAGCATCCAGCTAATAAGCACAAAGCACTACGAGAACTGACCTGTGAAGTTAATGATATGACAAAATCATCAGGCTCCTCTGCATCTTGGTCATCCAAATATTCCCTCTTTGTCATTTCCTATATCAATTTGCATTTTTGGCAAGGAGTTATAATTCTGAAGGTAAGTTCTTTTAACTTTTGATGGGAGAAAATGCAGGTGTCACATACCTGCATATGAAAAATGGTCTCCAACTGCATCTCTATACGTAGAACCTTAAGGCAATCAATTGCCAATTTTCTATATTCTTCAGCAAATGATGCAAGATCTTTAGGAACTGCACTGCTAGTTCTCTTATGGTGCATGGGTTTCTGTGTTCCATTTTCCTCTACATGATCATAAGCTTTGGAAGATGATTTCCCTAGCCTAAGTACATCAGAAATGGAATTTAAGCCACCAAAAGATTTATCTTTTCATAGAGGCCAAAAGCAGACCACAAAGATAAACTTGGGAGCAACAAGATAGGACTACTTACCTTTCTATAGAGTCTGCAACATATTCCAATGAATCACTCAATGAAGCCAATAAAATAAGTTTGTTATCGTCACGAATCAAGTTCTCCTACAGAAAATTAAGACAAAAGAGAAATGAGATATACACACAAATGCGTGCTGCGATCACCAGAAGATTATAAATGTGAGTTAACAGGTCATTCTGTGTTTATATATATAGTGACAATATCCGACTAGGTCATGGATACCTGCTTGATAGGCCTCAAATTCAGTAGTGCATCACTTAATTCCGTTTCTACTTCAGTAGACTCGGCATCGGAAGCATCAGGTTCTCCGATTCTTTGATCTAGCGAATTGGGTAAACAGGAACTGGCTGGATCAAGTCGCAACAAATTATCAATATCATGTCTCCCAATTAGCATATAGCTTTGCTTCTCAAGAACTGCCTGATATTTCAAACAAAATGAAGTCAGTAAAGAAAAACAAAATAATAGGAGCTCAAAGAAGATCACATTTGAAGCTTCCCAGTAGAGGAATATTACACCGACCCTTTTACAAACTTTTCTATCAGAATTTCACCACCTTCCATTTTCAGTTATAGTAACTTCGAAGGGCATTAAAGTCTAAAAGTCATTTCTTTCTGTATATAAAGGAAAATACTATTATTACATCTTCCCTCATCTTATCTATCAAAGATCATGGTGGCTTAGTTTACTACCGGGGAAGGTAGCCCAGCAATCAAAGATCCCAGAAGGAAGTTTGTTAATCTTCTGAAACAAATAGGGAGACAAAACTTTCTTCTCATATTGCCGACCCCATCCAAAAAAGTTAGATCATCTAGACATTCTTGAATATTAGCCCCTAGCCTAATAAGCATATACCCATGCGTGACTCAAAGCCCCTAGCCAAATAAGCCAAAAAAGAAGCAAGGAAAAAAGTATGAACATGTTTTTTTGGGTATGAATTCTTGCTTTAAATGTGAAGTAAACTACTGAAATATGAAAAGAAAAGAATAAGGATATGTCCATGCCTCCATATATGATGTTCGGCATCTTTCATATGTTCTTTCAAGGAAAGTTTGCACATAGTTGATGAGATCACCAGCAAATTTTGGCATTGCTTGAGCCCATCCAAGTACCTGGATAAATGGTATTGAAGAAAATGAACTCAAAGAAATCACTTGTTTGCTACATGCAACGATGGAAACCAAAATATATACACTGTGACATCAGGAATACCTCTTTTGCTAGGAAATCAATTGCTAGTAATCCTTGTAAAACAGGACGCCCCTTTTCAATTGATGAAGTGTAAGAAGCAGTTGCATTGGCTCGAGGACGAAATGCAGCTGGGCCTGTTTAGATGAGAAACCCTAAGTCAGATTTTATGTTGTATCAATCAAATTATGAGCAACTCTTTGTGATTAGCAATCTTTACAAACAAAACATTCAAACCAACCACAAGATTTATCATTCATCTTTAAACATACATTCTCATGAAATACTTTAACTAAAACAATGCTCATTATTCATGTCAGTACTTTACACTATTGTCGTTGGTATAAAATTCTCCTTAAATCATTAAATCCAGATGTTACTCTGCACTTCACATGAGCCAAAATATTCACAAAAATAATGAACCAACATACATATACGTTTCCTGCTTAGGCTTGAATTACAAACCCTTATATGAATGATCACTAGACATGTCCAGGCATCCGGGTATGTAGCAAAATACATTGATGAAAGGAAGACACTGGAAACATATGATGTGCAAAGAACACGACACAGACTAGAAAAAATACCAACTAAAACTTAAGAGATCTCTAATTTGACTCTAACAATAGCATATGATCACTAGGTAACAGGTAAGGTCAGCCAAACCATCTCCATTTCCAAAAGAGATTGGACCATACATGAGAAATCAACACTTAAAAATTGTTTTATAGGAAGACTAAAAAAATGTTGGAGCTATCATGAAACACTTATTTCCCTGCAGTTTTCTTGTGTTTTAGTGAATCAACCCTGTTACATAAGTGGATAGCTAATTTTATCACACATCATAAGAAGTATATCTACCATCATGACATAAGTATGCAGTTATTCTTACAACTTATCGTCATAACTGCAACTAATGCTATTGTGAGGCACACTATGTACGTAGGAAACTATAGAAGCGTCCATGTACCCTCATTGTGTGTCTGTGTAGCCTTTTATTAAAAGGAGAAAAAGGAATGTGTTGTGCTACGTCAAGCTGCTCAGCGTTGAAATTCACAGTGGATTAAATATGACCTCCAAATTCTACTCTTTAGATAATCAAAAGAATTATATTTTTTCAAGGCAACATCAACGCAATACTTCATGTGCATCAACTGACGTCAAACAAGCACTCATATCATGTAGAGCCATCTGGCAGAGAACCACCAGGATGGCAACGCAAATTGAATCTAGTATCGTGCTACAGATCGCAATAAAACGAAACACTAAACATTTAAAATTTCATGCAAAATATTAGTTAGACAAAATGTATGGAAATAATGCAACTAAAATATATATACCAATAACTCTGAGAAAAGAAAATAGTTATAAAAGACTTGCTTGATATAGCTTGTTGTACGCTTTTCCGATAATCTACAAACATTGTTGGTAAAAAGTGATCCTTCACAAAGTTCTCCGTAAATGAAAGCAACCCATCATTGCTGCAAAAAAATGTTCAGCAATATCAGGCAAATGATAAAATGAAGATGCATTCATGCATATTGACAATTTGACATGCATTATTCGAGTAGAGAATCAGAAATCCATCCCCTTGTCAGATACTTTTGTCGTGTTAAATCAGGCAAGGCACAAATTACAGATTTTATAAAGGTAAGTGGTAGACAAACTATTCAGGGAAGACGGATGTTAAGATGAAACAGAAAAAAGATGTCAGCTGATATACATTCTAGAAACCCAGATTTCGGACCAAATATGTTTAGTTTTGAACCCTATAATAACAATAGCTTCTCATTTATAAAGTGTATCTCAACTCAATATCATGAAGCCAAAATTATTTTGTTCAACCACTCATGTCTCAAGACTTTGTTACAAGCTCAAATAACGATCACCTACAACTAAACATTTCACCGGCTATAGTATAGTGATTTTAATATTTCTCAATCAAGTATCTCTTATGGATACATGCCTCCTAGAACATGTTGAACAAATATCTGGAGTCCAGAGCAGACCCAATCAGAACGAAACTTCCAGTAAAAGAGAACCAGTAAAATCAAGAAAATTCATCTTCCCTTTTAACACGTATTTTCTTGTACCAATGGCCAACAGATGGCCAACGGGAAACGTGAGATTTACTTTCCTTCACGTCATACTAAACAATTTAAAGGACATAAATTTAAAGCAATTAGAATTTCGCATCACTGTTTAGCAAGATTACCAAAATTTAAACTCCTTGAGTTATGTTGAAACATACACAAATGTCAAAAGAAGATTTGTCTAATATACACAACTTCCCTGAGGTTTAACATTTTTATTTACCGTATAATAAGAAATAAATATTTTCTGCAACACAATGTCCGAAGAAATTTGAGATAATTGAGAAAATATAACCTAGGTGTACATCTGGCAAAAGGGATATGAATCCATGCATTCATACAAAATAACAAGTTTAAAAAGAATTGAATGAGCTCACCCAAGTTGGGAAAACTTTTGAGGAAGCATTGACGCAACTTTATCTGTAAACTGCACATATAAGGAAGGAAATAAGGAAATCGAAAGCTGAGTTGCAGTTGTAACGCCCTAGAGAATGAATAGCATTCAATTTAGTTCCTTTCTGTCTCCACCATACCTGAAGTACTGGCCTATAAACGGATGCTGCTAAATATATCCCTTGCTCGGGCAACACAGCTCCAGTGCCATAACCTTCTTGGAGTACATTCTGGCCCCTTCTCCATCCTTGACGGATAAGATCAGCACCTAGGTAAATCCACATATGTGAAAAATTATATTCTGGAAACTGTCATACGCAGATTGTGAAAGGAGAGATTACAGAGGAGAAACAACATGCATCCGTATGACATTAGCATACATTTCTAATTATACAATGTAGGGATATTTAATGACTCTATCTTTGTTTAATTGGAACAATTAGGACTTGGATGAAATGAGACTGCTGTCCTTTTCCTCTCACACAGATATAGGAGGGAGCATTCTAGTAACACAAACATAGTTTGCAGCTGCACATTGCTAATGGAAATGCTCACTGACTTCATTCAGAAAAGGAGTTATACAATTTAAAGGTTTTTTCGATGTAAAAGTGCTTTGGACTAGCCAGCTTTGACATGCCATTCAGTTAGCTAGATCATGCAGCAAACCTTCAAGCTGGTTCAGCATCTTGTCTTCCATATTTAGTTTTGCATGATAATTTACTTTTGCTAGTGTATGAAAATCAGTTCGTACCTACTCTGATTATATCACATTTGTTTTCATTGTGACCCAATAAATGATTCTCTTTGGAACATATATTTTATATCTTGTATGCTTAATTCATCATTTAAGCAAAATAAGTAATGTTATCATTGGAAAAGGACATGCATTGTTAGGAACATAGTTACAATTCGAATCTATGTCCAGAACCAGAATATCAGAAGATAATAATTAGTTAGCACATTAATTTGAATATCCTATGGGTCATTAAGAACGCAATTATGCCACTTGGCTAGTCTTAAGAGGTAGTAAGGTAGAAGAAAAGTTAAATAAGTGATAATGAATTATTTAGTATATTTTCTTCTTACCCTGGTTAGGAATGGAAGCACTAGCATCTGTAAAGCGAAATGCGAAGGTAAGACCATCTTCTGATCCATCCCTGCAAGCCACGTTGATCAATAAAGATCATTACATCATACTATATACAAAGAGCATGACTTTGCAACAAAGAATCAAACTACAATGATTTAAAACAGCAAATACAACAACAAATATACTTCGGCAACGATGCAGAGAAGGCCATCATTCCAAAAGAGCAATGTCTTTCCCAATCAAAGCAGTTTTACATGTGTTAACTAGAAAAATATGTACAACCACTATTCTTCTCCTGCAAATAATTATTACATCCATCATCAAATGAAAAATTGACAATACTATCCATCCATTACCTTTTTAATACCACCCAATACAAATAAACTCAATAACAGCAGAATTACAAAATATTTCCAGCCAAATTAGTCATGTATGTGTGTGATATTCAAGCCAAAGTATTAATGTTAAAGGGGGGAGAGAAAGGACTGAATCAATTATCGAAACGTAGAAAACCCACCATCACAACTATATAAATAACTGAAAGAAAGCTGGAGGCACAAAAATCCAAAAAATAAAAGTAAAACAACATGAAATACTAAAAAGGAAAAGAATCTAATGCAGACAAGTATCGTATGGAAGGATATGAATATGTCTGCTTACTTCTTATCTTTAGAGGGGCCCTTGTTAGCGAGTCTAGCTGTTTGTACAGCAGCATCTGCAGAAGCAGCTTCAGGAGTAGCTCGTAGGATCTCACATATAAGTTGTTGACACTCACTCTACCATCACAGATAAAGGAATGTATCATCAATAATAAATATGTCTACCCATACCTTTATTCCATAAAATGAGCTTGAAACAAGAGAAGCTAATTAAAAGGGTATAAAAAGAAAAAAACCTGCAAAACAGTTAAGGAAAAACCAATTGTATAGCCTCCAGTATCATTGGATGCATCAGAATCATGGCTCCAATTAACATCAGCAGCCATTGCTTTTGGTGTGTTCAAGTTACCTTGTTGTGAAGATTTTGATTCAAGTAGCTCTCCAACAATAACATGGTTTTCTGGATAATCATTCCAGTATTAAGAAAGTCAAGATAAGGCACGAGTACAAAAGATAACTTCTACAAACTCAAATAACCTACCAAATAACCGAACAACGGAGTCCAGAATACAATCAAGTAGTTCTTTCGCTGCAATTTGGGCTGTCCCAGCAGGAGACATTACATGAGAGACAGGGCTCGCTGCTAATAAAGCTCCACTGACTGATACCCCATTCTGCCCTTTTTGATTTGGTAATTGGCGATCCAGCCTCCCTTTTAGATAGTTGAAACCTGTAACTGTAGGCAAGGCAGCATGGCCAAGACGAGACCTAGGCCCATTGACACGTCCTGCCTGAGCTTTGATCTTGGTAGTAATGAGCTCATGGATTGTAGGACGTAATCTTTGGCTTTGAATACAAGAGAAAGAGGGAGAAAGACATAATATTAGCCTCAGAAATTCGTAGTAGAATCTACCATCCATATTACTACTGAAATGAATCGTTAAGATAGTTTCTTATATCTACAATCAAACTATTTGAGTCACAATATTGAGAAATTAGGCGTGTTTAACAAATCAAAAAAAAATGTTTCCACCCAATATATCTATCCTTGTCCCATCATATTGAAACCATGAATATATTGACACCATTCCTTTACAAAGCATTAGAGCAGTGCCTGGGTTCAACATAATGAAAGGCCTTTAAGAAAATTAAATCACACAAGTAATACGAAATTTCTAATATAGCGAAATTTTGGAAAAGTATAATGATTATCATGTCAAGCCACTCTGGACATTAGGTTACAACATTCCGATGGCAGCAGAATCCTGATTCAGGACCACTATAATTTTGATGATATCATAAAAGTGGATATCTAACTCTATTTTTTTTTTTTTTTTTGAGAAATTCAAATCCTGTTACATATTGGGGAAGTAGGGGAGGGGGATTAGATTGGAACCCTAGACCTCTATCTAAGATATCCAACTCTTATAAATCAAATTTTATTAGGAACAGAGCAATGCCAACATGAAAAAGAAACAAAGAACTCTAAGCTAAAAGTCTCTTCATGAGATCCTAACAAGCACTAAAACAAGAAGTCGTATTTAATTATCATTTCCGATGATAGTTAAACAAAATGAGGAGTACTCATTCTATAGAAAACAAGTACTAGTCATCGTCTTTTAACTATCATTTCATAACATTCAAATTCCAAACATATGACACTCGGGTACTAGCTAGCTGAAGTTGCAAATCTATTATTAGAGAAATTCTTTCAAGTATCAAACTTGATAACATACCATATTATTGCACCCGCAGCAGCAACTTTTCCTAGCATGCAGAGGCACTCAACCATGGTCTGCAAGTACTTTACATGCAGTGGAGCATCGCTCTTTCTCATTGCTTCCTGCATTAAGTTTGCATACACAATTCATCTCATTGGACAAGATAAACCAATTGAAGGTCAACAACTATGATGATACTGTATTTATAGCAGCATACAACAAATTCATCGGGAGTGGAATCTGATAGCCACATGGGAATTTGACGAGATAGAGTTTTTGCATCCCTTGCACCATTATCACCACCATTTGCCCTCATTGAAGGAGTATGTCCATTAGATGGAGCATCATCATGCATATCCATTGTGCCATCCTCAGTCTGGCCATCGAATGATGAACTGAGATGCATAACAAGAAAGAGAAAAGAAGCTCAAAATTAAGCAGTCTGACTGACTACAAAGAAATTCTGATTCTGTTTTAAAGGTGCATATTCAGTTAGGAGTTCCCAAATGAAAAAAAAAATTATTTATGGAAAATATTTCATGAGCATCTAAACCGGATACAGAGATCCCAACGAGAAGGATAGAAGGGCAGGACTGTTTAAACTTGTAATGATATGCCCAGGCCAAGTGTGACATTCATTGACTAAAGAAATAAGCTTTAGCTTCCAAAACATCTTACAGCATTTTATCTCCAAATTTTAGCAAGGATTTTTATGTGCTAAAGGCTTGGAGCAGTCAGAACAAATAGAGAACAAGAAAGACCTCCTTACTTTCTGGATACCCAGTTACTAAAACTATTTGGAAAGCTCAAATGGTATCAAAGATAGAAATGGTACTAGATATGCATTTACCAAGCAGGTCAATTCTTTCAAAACAAATCAAAGTTCCCATTTCATCTATTAAGAAAATAGGAAAACGAACCAAAATCCACTATATAAAACTAAATAATCCTATTCACACATCAAGGGGATGGATATAAAACATACAAATGTTCTCAGCCTCGGACAGGAAGGAAGATCATGCCAACAGACAAGAAGTGTGATAACAAAATGAAGTCAAGTTTGGATGTATTGCAAATGTAAGACAGCATTGAAACATCTCACGGGGAACCAAAAAAAACTCTAGCAGCCAAAGATCCCAAACAGAAACATTAAAGGAAAGCGATTAGTTGCAGAGTGCATGGTAAGTTAAGGCTTCATCTCACCCGCCATCAACTGAACTCGGTCTATAGAGTCCATCTCCAGTACCATGTGTTCCAAGATTATTGTCGCCTTTCGGCGACCTGGTTCTTCGAGAGAGAGAGTGTGTATAAGTCATGGAAAATGTAATAGCTGAGGAAGTTGGAATTGCATCATCGCTTTCATTTATACTTGAGACAACTGAGCTGCCACAAGGAAAGGTGGAAAGCAGAAGAAGCGATTAGTCAAGTAGAAGCCAAAAAAACACTTCCAACAAAGAAGCTTTGGTATAATAAAAACAAAAGGATCTTGAGTAGATAACCAACATGTTGCTATATATTTAAGCTCTCTCAACTCTCAAGGCACATGTACGTGAAATGTCATTTTCACTCTGCTGAAATTGACTGAGGTTAAAAGCATTATGATATGCGTAAGAAATTAGTGTGCTATTCTAGGTGATTAATCTGCAGGGAAAATGATTCTCAAAGATATAAAGGCGATATCCCATCAGCGACTTGACATTTCTCAGTACATTGACAATTTATATTTTAAAAAATACTTGGGTTTAGAGTTCTATGGACTGGATAATAGACTGACTATATACCTAAATTCACCCTTATTGTAAAGATGGGCATGTAAATCCTCCAAAACCTTATAGAAGATTGTTCCACGCAGCTTTGTCAATTCAGAGCGAACGTCTTGAAGAGCACCAACCTGGACCAATATATCATCATCCATCAGATAGTGCCTCATTATCATATCATCTTTCCTTTAACCTTGAAATAGAAATTGGAATTATGGAATTCAATATGACAAAATAGTGGTTTCCTCAAGGAAAAACCTTTCTGACATTAGGTTTTTATGATTTCATGCCCCAGAAGAAATAATGATGTATAAAAAACAAGATTTTTGGGGCCTAAAGTAATACTATAGGCAACCTTTCAAGGACATGATCATGTACAAATTAGCATGCAGAATTTCTCTCTTCAAGAAAATGTAGGAGAATGTTAATTTTGACGAAGAAGACCCACGACCCACTCTAAGTTATTCCCTAAGCACCACTACCAAAATAGAGATAGCAAGATAAATATTTGCCTGTGAAATTTTCTGTTTGTTTAAGCAATTAATTTTTTTTCACATGTTCATATAAATTTAAAGATGAATGATATCATTGCAGTAGATATTAATGGGACTCTTATGGATTTTGGACCAAATTTCAAAGCAAAACAATATATTTTTAAACATAACCCCTGCTACAGACATGCAGCTCGAAGCATTAGACTATCGAAGTGCATAGTTGTAGGTTAGAATCTGAACTTCTGAATCAGATACTCGGTGGAAAAAAAAACACATTTATACTGAAGTCCTATAAAAAATAACAAGAATGCCTGAGCAATTTCAGACTTCAGTGACCGCGCTGAATGAGTAGGATTGCTCAATTTGATAGAATATTATTGAAGATTAACAGATCTTGCATAGCCGAGAAAAAAGAAACAACTAACCGTTTGGAGGCCCTCTCTCTCAAGCATTAAGCTTGACTGAACATGTAATTGTACTGCAGCATAAAACTGCTTTTCAGCAATGAGCTTTTCAATACGAGAAGGTACCTATACATGTTATAAAGACATAAGTACACAACGACAAAAGCATAAGCCTTCACGGGGCTGAATGGTTGATATTCCAGTGTTCAACAGCAAGCAGGAATGTTGACCACTAGAAACAAATACAATTAAAACAAGCGACTATGCTTCCACATAACTTTTTTCTGTAACTCTGCCTCTTTGGGCATTTCAACTAACTTACAGTCAAACAAATGGCAAAAGGAACAAAGATATTGGTAATTGGCAAGTGTATATATATATATATATATGTATATATATATATATATATGTATATATATATATATGTATATATATTTATATATATATACATATATATATATACATATATATATACATATATACATATATATATATATATATATATATATATATATATATATATATATATATATATATATATATATATATATATATAAAATAAAATAACTGAGTGAAACAAAATCTGTACAGGGAACAGACTGACCTTAGCTATTCCTTCAATTTGGTCTAACAAAGAGATTATGTGCCTCAAAGTAACAGACCGATACCATAACTGATGCAACTGCTTATTATGAGCACCAATAAGTTTCTTTGCGTCAGCTAAATCAATCTTCAAGTCCCCAATGCTTTGAGCAGATTCACTGAACAACCGCAAGATCTGAAGGATATAAAGAATATTAGCGAGAATCTTAATAGATACATCAGATAAACAAAGTTTATCATCAAACATAATATAAAATGAAAACATCTTCAACTGGGGAAGAGCTTATTATGATTCATTGTTGTTCAATTGTTGGAACTTGGCTCGGTAGCGGACCTAGCTCTAATATTCTTGTGCTTCTTTTTTTCCTTTTAAAGATCATGGGGAGATATTAATGGTAGCTATATTCATATTATCGTGATGAAAAGTCGAAAGTCTCTTATGATTTGAGTTGTAAGCCCAAACTCTACCAGGACTCGAGGACCCTAATTCTTTTGAACTATTTTGTAACTTTCTTTTGTTTTCTTTCTATGATCTCATTTATCAGCGCTGCAAAATTCCCCTAGCATATCAACGATTTATAATGTTTTTTAATTACATTTCTCTAGATTTTGCTAAACATGGATGGTGCTGAAGTTTAAGAAAAAAGATCCAATAGACAGTACTTCCTATCAAATTTTTCTTCAAATAATTTTTAACCTAATTACTATAACTTTTAGCCCACTTCTGACTTTTATCATTACAATATGATCCCAAGTACCAAACCCAGATCTCAGGTCTTATGTCTTGGCAAACAAGACGTGAAAGACCTTTCTTTAATCTTTCTTTCCAAAACACAGTAATGTTTCGAGTCCAATTCATATTTGTCTCCATATAAGAAACTAGAAATATAGCTCAATGGATGAATATCCCTCGACATGCAAGTAAAATACCTCAACTAGGATATAAGGCGAAAAAAGTAATTGAAAGCATCTCAAACAAGCTACACATAACAGAAGACATGGGGACGTATAGAAAGCAAATTTGTCAGAGATGCATGCATCAAAGAAGAGAAACACTTAAGAATCAACTATTGAGAAACCTGAGAATAATTTTGAATTGCTTTGTTGAAGCCACCATGATATGCATGAACAACTTCATCAACAACTTCTTCAATGATATCACTCTGCTCCTTTAAGACCTGAACATCCCCTTCACGGTCTTTTGATGTTAAAATATGCACAACATGCGGTAATGAATCAAAGCGTGCTGCAGCCCAACTTTCATCTATCTTAGAAAGTTCTTCCCTTAAATACTGCAAAAACCATCAAGCAAATAAGAAATATGACTTCCCACCAATCCAAGCTGTATCAATGGTTTATAACACAAATGCATATATCTAATGACAATGTATACTGATATTCCTGTGGTGCCAACAGATTGTACATTTGGGATCCTTCATTTATTCCAGATTTAAAATAATAAGTTTTTTCCAACAATTACGTTATATTATTTTGTGTAGAGATTCAAGATCAATAGCATGTCGGAACCTTAAAATTTCCCTAATAATCTAATAGCGGGCATTAAAAATTCTGAAATAGCAATTTTCAAGCCAATCTACAATGTAAACTCAGGTTTGCATCTCCTTCCAGAACTCTATAATATGCTCAAACAGATAACATTTGTCTTTGTGCATAATAAATAGTTATTTGTGTGGTCTACAGGGAAACGTCGTGAAATTCACACACAGCCAAATCCCACAATCTACGCCACGGAGATCTATATCGAACTATCAAGCTATTATTGCCTTAACATGCAAGGGATCTATCATATTGTTGCGTTACAGAAGTAATAATTGAAGTTTCCAATCGAGTCCAAATTTCCCACTACAGATTTCAACCACAAAATTCTGCTACTGAAATCACTTGCTTCAACATCATGATGTAGAATCTCATCAGCTAAAATAAACATTATAGTTCCCTTCCCTACCGAAATTTAGTCTGCCAATTTGCTGATAGAATATGGACCTTCTTTAAAAAAAAAATCCACCAGCAACAATATCTTACAGCAGCCTCTCCTGGACTAATAATTTTTGCCGTGCCGGTGAGCAACTTATCACTAACTAAGCATTTAAGAAGGCATCGGACTAGTAAAACTACTACTACACATAGAAACAAATGGAAATCGACAATTAATCTCACAAATTTAGCCGAGCGCAAAACCCACACATTTACTACTACGAAAGCATATGTAATTCAAAATTTGAGCTGAAGGAGTTGGAGTTTTAAAATTAACAACATTGCAGACTTCCTCTCGATCAATTTACAATGAAATTTGATTAAATTCATCGGAACAAAACCTCAACGAAGTAAACCGTTCCAAAAAACCCACACAATTTCCACCACTAACTGAAATTCTCACTTCTCTGAACAATTACAGCAATTTGACCCCATAAATCGCCGCGTTTGGACAAGAGCGATCATAAAATCAAATTCCTCGTCCAACTAAACAAAAACTAAAATACACATAAACAAGTTGATTAAAAAGGGGGGAGAAAAAAAAAACGCACCGATTTATCTCGCGAAATGGGAAGTCCGTCGAAGATTGACATTTGGATTATCCAATCAGCTCAATCCCAAGTCCTGCACAACGAAAATCATACACAGCTTAAGGAATATCGGAGTCCATTTCTGGAAAAACGAAAACAGATATCAACAATAGATACAACTCGAAGGTGTGTGTATCTGTGTGTGTGTGTGTTCATATACACAAGAAGAATATGAGAGAAATCATGCTTACTGGATCTGCCTATGGGTTTGAAGGGAAATGGATCCGATGAATTTTTATTTATTTATTTAATTCTGTAAATAGATTTTTTTTCTGATATTTAATTTCCTCTTTTGATAAGACTTTTCGATGAGCTGGAATTGGGGGCGCGTCGATTTTGTGAGGGAACGGTATCAAGGTCAATTTTGCGCATTGTAGTGTTGTACCTTCTGCATTGTGGGTATTTCGTTGACGAACTTCGATTTTGACTTTTAGTATGAGTAATAAATGGATTGAATCAACTCATGACTAATGTTCGAGTTCATGTTTCATTGATCAAAAGTTTACGAGTGACGAGCTCAACAATAAGTTAACTCGAATAAATATTTAAAAACTCAAATAATTTTTCGATAATCTTTCAATTGAGGAAATGGACGTTTTTTGTGTAAAAAACACACGTTCGGGTGCTGAAGCTTGGTTATGATGAAAAGCCTTCGATACTTATGTCAGTCCAAGTTCGAGAGAAAAATATGGAACGGTAAGCAAAATATTCTGCAATAAAAAATGACAATAATGAATTGCCTGAAAATAATAATTGAATTATTTATGAGCTAGATTTTTATATTATGGGCCTGAAATATGATCTTGGATCTTAGTAAATGATTGGGTCTAAAGTCCTATAATTATAAGATTTGGGTTTCATACTTCTAGTTCAGGTGCATCAACGAGTGATTCTATGTTCCTCATTATAATTATGATAATAAATAATTAAAACCTATAAATGTTAAAATTTCAAATTTAACTTGAATTTGTTCAAAATCAAGTTCGACTGTGAAAACATAGAATATTTTAGCTAAGCTCGTTGCAAGTTTACTCGACGAACAAATTTTATCTAAACAATATAATTAATCCTGCATTATTACTATTTGTAGCGGGCTTATCACTAGGTCGCAATTTAATTTTAGTTTTTATTTTAAGACACTCTTCAAAATTTCAAATTATCTCTACTACTTTGATTTCTGAAAATTGAAGACTTTGAAACTCGTTTCGCAAATCAACGGACAACAACAATAGCTCTAAAAAGAATTTGTAATAAATGATTTTAAATTAAAGTAAGCACTTTATGCTCACATTTAAGAGAATATTAACTTGAATTTTCCTTATACAATGAAACATAACTTAAACGCTAGGATATTTCAAAAAAAAAAAACTTAAACGCTAGGAGACTAATTAGTAATTAGGCTTCAGTGCTCGGGGGAGAATCTCATGGAATGATTGACTAAAGCGTTGATTTTTTTCCAACAAAAACCAACGACAATCATGTTCAACAACACGAAACCAAAATTCTTCTAGATCGCAGTTGTGTGAACTCAAGATTTTCTTTTCATACAAAGAAAATAAAGAATTAAGAAAGTTGATGCTAGCTAAATGCTAATGCTTACAATATTTTGGGGCCAAAGTGCAACAACTAAAAAGGTTGGGGCCAAGTGCAACAACCATAAAATATGGGGGATAAATTGATATACTACAAAGTTGTGGGGATATTATGAAATATTGACAATTGAATCAATCACTGCATTAATTGCCACTTTCCCCCTTTCTGAACCAACGTAGTGGAATTCGTGATGAATTTCTGTAATTGCATTTCCTGATTTTGATTTGAAGAACACTCCAATGGATTCATCAAACCAAAACACTCATCCTCAAATGCATAATCAACTCAACAATCCTCTCCAAACCACTGTTCATCTTCCCCATTCTTCAATCCCCAACCCCAATGCCGTTCAAAACCCTGAATTGAACCCCAATTTTGGCCGAAACCCTAGCCCAGAAGCCAATTTAGTCCAAGAACACTCAACTCCGGCATCAATCACAAAAGGAAAAAGAGGCGTCCGGCGACCTAAAACGGCGTCGTATGCAAACCAGGTACAAAATATGTCATCTGCGTCTTTAAATGATGGTTCAGTTTACGCCGGGGTACAGTCGATATCTTCTAGTTCAGGTCAGGTTAACAAGGCTCAGATGAAAATTTCGAGTAATTTAACGCCCGTAAAACACGGGTCTAGTTCGAATTCCGGCATTTCGGCTAAGAAAACTGTTGATGACATGTCAGATGAGATAATTGTGATTAGTAAGGAAGCCACGGCTGAGGCCTTGATTGCATTGAGTTCGGGGTTCCCCGCTGATATACTTACCGACGAGGAAATAGAGTACGGGGTGGTGTCTGTTGTAGGGGGGATTGAGCAGGTCAATTACATCTTGATTAGGAATCATATAATTACAAAGTGGCGTGAGAATGTGTCGAGTTGGCTAACAAAGGAAATGTTTGTCAACATTGTTCCGAAGCATTGTGGGCCACTTTTGGACACGGCTTACGATTACTTGGTTTCACATGGGTATATTAACTTTGGGGTGGCGCCTGCAATGAAAGAGAAGGTTTTGGTGGAGCCAAAACAGCAGAATGTATTAGTTATTGGGGCTGGACTCGCGGGGTTAGCTGCTGCAAGGCAGTTGATGGCGTTCGGGTTTAAAGTGACGATTTTGGAGGGGAGGAGGCGTGCTGGAGGTAGAGTGTACACAAAGAAGTTGGAAGGTAATAATAGGGTTGCGGCTGTGGATTTGGGTGGGAGTGTTTTAACGGGCACTTTGGGGAATCCACTTGGAATTTTGGCTCGGCAGTTATCATTAACACTTCATAAAGTTAGGGATAAGTGCCCTCTTTACGGAGTGGATGGTACACCTGTCGACCCTGGTTTGGATAAGAGTGTGGAGGATTCTTTTAATGAAGTTTTGGATACAGTAAGTAAATATAGGAACGAAATGGGAGATGTTGCACAGGATGTGTCCCTTGGGGCAGCATTGACGACATTTCAGAAGAAATTCAATGAAGAGGAGATGAATCTGTTTAATTGGCATATCGCGAACTTGGAATATGCAAATGCCAGTTTGGTTTCAAAGCTTTCACTTGCGTTTTGGGATCAAGACGATCCATTTGATATGGGTGGGGCCCACTGCTTTCTACCCGGTGGAAATGGAAGATTGGTGCAGGCGCTGGTTGAGAATGTACCTATTCATTACGAGAAAACTGTCCAGGCTATTCGTTATGGTAGTGATGGGGTACAGGTTGTTGTTAGCGGGGGGCAGATTTACAAGGGTGATATGGTACTTTGCACTGTTCCCTTGGGAGTTTTGAAAAGTCGTTCAATCGAGTTTATGCCCGAGTTGCCGCAGAGGAAGCTTGACGCAATCAAGAGGTTGGGATTTGGCTTGTTGAATAAGGTCGCATTGCTCTTCCCACATGCATTTTGGGGAACTGATCTCGATACATTTGGCCATCTCACTGATCATCCTAGCCGTCGTGGGGAGTTCTTTCTTTTCTACAGCTATGCAACCGTAGCTGGCGGTCCACTTTTGATTGCTTTGGTGGCAGGAGAAGCTGCTCACAGGTTTGAGGTCGTTGAACCTATTGACTCCGTGCAAAGGGTGCTTCGGATTCTTAGAGGTTCGCACTTTTTTGGCTTTATATCTTAGATGAATTATCATGAATCATCGTTTGTCATTTTGGAAATTATGTCATTTTTAGTTACATGCTTTTAACTATGAGAGGGTACTACATGCATATTGACTTTCAAATTTCATACACGCTCGTGTAAGGAAGACTTTTAATGCTATATTTTACTGTAGATTTGTATGTCCTATATGCATTTAATCTAATCCTAGTGTTATTTGGCAATCTCGCAAGTACATGCTTTGACTTGGTCAAGGTCCTTGGTTACTTTTGGCATCAGGTCTTGATCTAGAAGGCTAATGTGCTAGTTTGATAGGGTAATGGTGGTTTTGAGAAAATTTTAATGTAGTCTAACAGTACCCCTAAAATTCATTATTTTCCTGTCCATTTTGTGCATCTCCGATCCATAAGAATTATTTTTCTTCTTTATTTATTTATTCATCAGGGTTTTTTTTTTATTTTTTTTAATGTCAGTATAATGAAACTCTAACTTCTAAAAGTTGGTCAATCATGATGTCTAGCCTTTCTATTGCAGATATATACGAACCGCAAGGCATTGAAGTCCCAGATCCTATCCAAACTGTATGTACAAGATGGGGTAGTGACCCCTTAAGTTGCGGTTCTTACTCTAATGTTGCAGTTGGGGCGTCAGGTGATGACTATGATATTTTAGCAGAATGTGTGGGAGATGGGAGACTCTTCTTTGCCGGTGAGGCGACCAATAGGCGCTATCCAGCAACCATGCACGGGGCTTTGCTTAGTGGGTTTAGAGAAGCCGCCAACATGGCCCATCACGCGAGGGTTAGAGCCTCGAGGTCAAATGTTGAGAAAAGCCTAACACAAGATGCACACACCTGTGCCACTATTCTTGCAGATTTATTCAGGCAGCCCGATGTGGAATTTGGCAGCTTTGCTATACTCTTTGGTAGAAATAACGCTGGTTCGATGGCAATTTTGAGAGTGACATTTGGTGGACACCGACAGAAACAGGATCAGCAATATTCTAACAAGGTACTTTTTGAGCAGCTCCAGTCTCACTTTAATCAGCAGCAGGAGTTTCACATTTATACATTATTATCTAAGCAACAAGCCCTTGACTTGAGAGAGGTGAGGGGGGGTGATGAAGCTAGGCTGGATTACCTATGCAATAAGCTTGGAGTGAAGCTGGTTGTAAGAAAGGGTTTGGGGCCATCTGCAGATTCTGTGATTGCTTCAATTAAGGCTGAGAAGAGCAGCCGTAAGACATCATCTGGTTGGTTCTCTTAACCTAAGCATACATATAACATAAGTGTATGGATAGGCTGATTTTTTCATGAACCTTTAGTTTAATGTGAACTTATATACTATGCATTTTACCTTTTTTGCTTGACTACAAGGATTGTCATGTTTTATATGTTTCTGTGATTGTGACTATTAGATAGACGTAAAGTTCTGGAGTAACAATAGAAGAAGGGTGGAGAGTCATCTATTTAGCGATGTACAAAGAGCATAACATAGAAAGTTTGAAGTGATGAAAGTACGGAGAATTTTACTATTTTAGGTCACCGTGTCACCGACATATTTTGCATTAGATTACACTAAAAAGAAACCAAAAATCGTAGCCACGGAGTAAAGATATACTAATTAAGGAAAAAGGAGCAAACCGGAACTTGAGAAAAAGTTAACATATAAATTTTTCGTGTTATTATCAATCCATGCATGCCATAATTTCTTTTAGATCGAACAAGCTTCATATATATTATGGAGAACTTGATAGTATAAATGTATCTCAAGCTTCAATGAAATAATTATCAAAGTCGCTAAAAGCAAAAGCTTTAAAGAAAAGCCTGCCTGATAAAGGTGTCCTCTACTAGTGGTAGATGCAATCAACGTCCTTTTTAGTAGTGGGTCGAAAGTTTGATTCGATTAAATAGTTAGTTTGGAGGATGTAATCCATGAATGGCAGAAAAAAATATAGAAATAAATGAGCTTTAGAAGGACCATCCATCCATGTGCTGGAAGTCAGCGATTTTGGTCTTTCTTTTGATACATGAGAGAGAATTTAATCACGAAAAGTGTGCTAATAGTGGATCTTTTTTATAAGGTAAATAATAATCGAGTTGATGAATAAATGCAACACACAAGTTCTTTCAAATTGAATAGAAAGAGGTACCGTAATCTAATTATTGTCTTGAGAAGTCATTTATTGTGGAGGTGAGAGTGAACTAAGAGTACTAGGGGATTGGACCTTTTAAACATCAGGGAGGCGTTGAGAAGTGATGAAAACTTATGTTAGAGATAGAAAGAAATCAAACTCGTGTGTGTAATTGATATACCTTGTAGAACATAACACACATTATTTAGAAACGTCTTCGTGCCATGCTGGCATTTAGAAGTTTCTCTTTTGTCGAATAACGTAAATGCTTTATTTGCCACGTGGGAGATGAGACAAGCAAGGCACTAACTATTTTTGTCCTCTCTTCCAAAGGTACATCGAAGACAAAAGCAACTGCAGCGAAACAAAAGCTAATTAGGTACGATCAGAAAACTTCATTTAACTCTCTCTCTCTTCAACACTGCATCCCCATTGTCTCACGCGTCAATTCTCACCTTTTTTTTTACTCAGGAGGGCTAAAATTGTGGGCGGCCGCAACAGATTGTCCCTCCCAAAGACCAATATTGAAAGTAAAGTCAGTAACGGTGGCATTAATGCGGAGTCCAGAATACTTCCCGCGAGTAATGGTTCGACTTGTCCTGTCTTAGATGATGGGCCAAGAGCATTTAGCAGCAATAATGACCTGCCCCCTCTAAATTCAAATAACGATGCCGACTTTATGAGTGATATTAGATCTCCTATGCAAAATTTGGGACTTAATAATGGATTAACAACGACTTTCGGTTCTAATAATGGGTCATCAGCATTAAACAGCAATAGCAGTCTCGCCTCACATAATACCAATGCTGGTATTATGTTGCTAGATGAAACACGAGATTCTAACCCTGAGGGTTTTTCTGCCAACAGCTTGTATCTACAGCCTATGGATTTTCATATGAGTACACTGGGTGATAGCAGTCGTTCAATTAATCAGAGCTTTATCTGCAGTAATGCCTCGGCTGCTCCGACGAGTTCTGAAATTGGGACCAGAGAAGTAAGCAATGATTTTATCATGGCGCCCTCGAATTCGATTAATCACGGTTTTAACCCTCAAGGGTACGCGGCGGATATATCTAATCAAGAAAGTAATTTGATGAATCACGGCTTTAACTCACAAGAGTACGCAGCGGATATATCTAATCAAGAAAATATATTTGAAGATATTATGAATGAACTGCTTCCCCCTTCCGGCTCAAACTCTGGTACTTGGCACTTTGCAGAGAAATTGTAGGGAGCTGAAATCGGTGCCATGGACATTTTTCTATCTGGTAACCTTTTAATTCACCTTATTTACATTCTTTGCCCTTTTTTATAATGAAACATTAAATTCACGCCTTTTGTATTAAGTTGTTTAATCAGTTTCCTTTTTGTCAAATAATCTGGTATATTATAACCGCCAGTCTCTTTAATTGTATCTATTTGACACCATCACGATAACATTTTCTGAAAATAAATTTAACTTAACATGTATCTGTTTGATCCCTCCAGATTGATATAGGCTTAGTATAGTGTCGAATAGTTGTCAAAAATCAATTCAATCTGGTGTGTTTGAGTAACGTACATGTTGTTAGCTGTTCGTTCAATCAGTCACTTCACAGTTGGATTATGGAAAACGGGACGCTTATTTTAATGAATTCCTTTTGATTTTTTATGAATGCATTATTCAGGTTTGGACAATGAATGGCTTTTCGTGCTGTATGAATATTTCAATGTTTTATGTATATGTGTAAAAGTCGGGGGCTTTTTAAGCTTACTATATGCAGCTAGCTGGTATTATTTATATTACAAATTATGCATTGTAAGTTAGAAACTCTTCGTATGTAAATGTTCGTTACATAAATGGATGGTGTAGATTGTGTACTTCGATTTTTTTCAATATCTTGGACAAAAGGTTTAGCCTTCATGTCATTATCGTAAATCTTGTTGTAGACTACTACTCTTTACGTCTTTTATGGTATTATGTTCTTTATTACACTGAATCCTTCGGGTTTTTTTTTTCAGGCTTGTGGATGGATTTGTCTTGTTGGAAGTTACTTATGCGAAAGCCGCCGAATCTACTGAAATGTTCGAGCATTAGATTGTCACACAGTGAAGGGGTTGATGAAAGGCTCGATATATAAGTACCATATATAGATTTGCAATTTCATATCCTTTATTAGATCAAAGTATACTTGTACATTTATACTCCACCTTTGTCAAGATGACCTTAGAAATGTATGTGTATGTATTTCTTCGAGGACTTCATAACATTTTCTCTCACTGGATCGTATTCGTCGCAATTTTTAAAGCTCGATAAAAAAAAATTGAATATGGGTTCGATTTGACTTGATTTATTTACACGTACAAATCTATGCTACAAACTGGGTCGGTTTTTACCGTTTTAAAAAAATCACCAAGTGTGTGTGTACCAAGATTCACATGATTTTAGTAGCATGAACACATTCTTTTCAAAAAAAATTCTCCATGATAATAATACAAAGGTTTTAAGATATCACTCGAAAACCAACAATCGCAACTTATGACAAAAAAAAAAAAAAAAAAAAAACTATTTACCAGCCCCATCCAACCATTCCTCCAGTTTTGCTTCTCGATCAGCTTTGAACTCGTCAAAATTCTCGTACAACGAGATAAAGTTTCTATCAGACAAACTTTTACTAAGTCTCGAATCTTCTAGAAGCTCCCTCCCAATTTCACTAGACAACGGCAAATCTTCATCCGTAAGCTTCTCATTCTCCGATACACTCGCTTCATTAGTTTCCATTTGTGGCAACTTAAAACTGTTGGCTCTTTTCTTAGCCGACTTAAAAACACTCGATAAATAGCCGCTGCTATTCTCACTATCATCACTCTTCGTGTGCGCAAGCGTATTACGACCCCATGTAGCTGGGGACCACGAGCTCGTTCTTCCCAAAAAACCCACTGAGCTGGCATTGTTGTATATCAATCCCCGTTTGGGTTGTTTAGTGGAAATGATCGAAAGGGATTTTTTAATATCTTTAATCATGTCATCTGCAATTGGGAATCCGCATTCTTTCATTGAGCTCAACATGGTAATGGAATCTTCTAGATCTTCTGTGCGCAAAGATGCCTCGTGAGATTTTTCGACGATGTTGTTCTTGAGAGTGAGAATGTTGGGCACTGCGTTTTGTGTGTGCTGTTGAATGTAGTAAAGCCCCACCGAGGGCTCGTTCGCCACGAATTTTAACATGTCCGTTAAATCTTCGGTTATTTTTACAAAACCATCAACCGTGGAGAAATCATGCATCTTTTTTACGGCAATTTGCTCGTCATCACTACAAAATTAAAAAAAATTGCGTTTACAAGGTGAAATAGAAACAAACGAAACTAAATAATAAGACCATATACGTAATTATCAACAAAATCATACCAAAGTACGCTCTAATTACGAACTAGAAAATTCATAATATTTAAAAACCGAATCTTGATATCAATTAAGCAGGAAACTTTGATCCTTGTTTGGCGATGATCTAATAAAATAAAAGACGACTTTTTTTCTTTTCGGGTAACAACATAGTTCGAATTATATCTTACTCGACTCGAACACAGTTCATGTACTATGTTGTTGCTTAATTTGCAAACCTACATCCAATCTAACACAAATCAAAAAACCTGCAGAATTAATCAATCAATCAAGAAAGTCATCAATTAGCATTGTGATTGATGAGTCAAATTAGGTTTCATAATTCAAAAACAGAATCCTAATTCTTGAGAGACAAATTAATTCCAAAATCAGATAAAAGAAAATTAAAAAATTCAATTCCAGTACAAACAACGAAATCAAGAACAAGGTACAACAATTATGGCTCGAAAAAAATCAACGCAATCATACCCGTGAAAAAAACAGAGGAAACCCACTTGTAAAAACGCAATCTTTAGCTCAATCAAAAAGCAAATCAAGACATAAAATTAGGGTTTGATAGAAGAATTGAAAGAGCTTACATATGTTTTTATCCAGCTGAAGAATTGGGTCTTCTTATGGTGTCTATTGGCATTATATATCTGTTGTTGGTGGTGACGTCAGCCAGTTTTTGCAGTGTTTGATTTTGTCTCTATTTGTCTCAGAAAAAGAGTTCTCGTGAGGAGAGAGAGAGACAGAGTGAGTGGGTGTATGACTATTACCAGATCAATTCTTTAGGTGAAAGACCGATTTACCCTTTTTATTCTTTATTTAGGTCAAACATCGAAATTTAAAGGATTAATTGTGAAAACACCCTGAAGGTAGACTAAATAACGAAACGCATCCACTCATATTCGTAATTATCAAAAACTCCAACCCCTTACAGTTTGACTTTTTATGGAGTTTTTTTTTTTTATTTCATGGAATAGACTTTACACAACTTCAGATATTTTCTTTGAACTTCCAACTTTCACAAAAAATTGAACAAGTATCGAATTTATTCGGCGAATGTTGAAAATTTGAGGGTTTGGATTATAAATCAGAATGCACATTCGGAAAACTGATTGTTATTTCGTTCAAAAGAAGAAAACGCAGAAAATTGAAAATTGGAAAGAAAAAAAATTATTCCAAAATCGATTTTTTTCCGAATCAATATTGTATTTTATTTTTTTATTTATATAGTAAAAAATAGGTAATCATTTTGACATTATAAGTGTAATTTTGTGGGATAGGATTAAAATGTGATCGAAAATCGAAACCTCGTATATATTCCAATCCCGATTTACAAAAAATCGAAGAATCGAAAATTTTGGAATTCAGAAAGAAAACCATTGTTCCAAAAATCGGGAACTTTTGAATAAAAATCCATGTAATTTCAAAATTTTACTTTTAGCCCTTATAAAAAATTAGACTTTATAGTTTAACCCCAAAATTTACAAGCAATATAACAAAACACCCCCAACTCACCACCCATATTATCCATTCGTATTTACAGAAGAAGATAAAAGAAAAGAAGAGAGAAAAATACAGTGTGGCTATGGCTTCTTCACTAATCTCCAACCAAAATTACTTCTTCCAGGTTCGCTCAATTCATCTTCACCACACCAGAACACCATTTTCTGTGAATTTAAAGACTGCCTCAAGTTATTCTTCATCTGCCAAAAGTGATTCTCATTTCAAACTCAACCTCAAACACATAATTTCAAGAGTTTCTTCTTCTCAAGGTCCTTTTTTTTTTTTCTTTTTTCAATTTAATTTGTGATGTTTCTTGCTTATGCTTTCTAAATTACTTGTTCTTGAGGGGTTATTTCGTAATTTCTTCAAAATTGAATCAATTGGAAATTCATTTGCAATCAATTTATTCAAAATTGACAGCACAGCTTTATAGTTTATTGAAATGCAATCAATATCTGAACAAATGCATATACAACAGAACCTCGATCAATTAATATTTAATACAGTCAGGAGGACTGACAAAATTCTATTGAATTAGCGAAATATTAAATTATCGAGCGAATAATTTAGTACGTTTTTACCTTAGTCGGGACCGTAAAAAAATATTATTTAAGCGAGATTATTAATTTCTCGAGTATTAATTTATTGAGGTTCTACTGTATATATATCTGAACAATATGTATGAACTAAACATTAGATTCATTGAATCTCTTTCTGTAATTCTTTAGTTATATTTTTATGCTATTACAGATGTTCCAACTGAGTTGGATGATGATTCTAAGTTCGTCCCGTTAAATTCCGACGATCCAAATTACGGTCCACCTGTAAGTAAGTTCCGGTCAGTTCGATATGCCGTTGTCATATATACAAAAGCAGAATGATGGATAAAGAAGAAGCTTGACATTTTTGGGTGATTATTATTTTATTTTTTTATTTTTCAGGCTTTATTGTTGCTCGGTTTTCGGGTGGAAGAGGCAGCTAAGGTGTAATGCAACTCACATTCTTGCGTATTATTCAATTTTTTTATCGGTAGTTTCGATTTTTTCGTGTATTATTATTATTATTATTGATAGTGTCGTTTTTGAATCTTTGGTGGATAAACTATGTTGGGCGATTCTTATCCTATTTGTTTTAATTGCTCAAAATGCGTAAAACTCGGTTATTTATAATGAATGAATGAATCACGACAGCTTTTTCGTAATGTAATAATTTTGCCTTGTTACAGATACAAGAGCTTTTGAAGGAGTTGGATGGCGAATTTATCGAGGTAAGTTATCGGAGAAGTGTTCTTGTGGCGTAACAAATCATTAGTTAAATACTTATATTTTGACAAAGCAATTATTTAATCGTTTTAAGTTTTTCTACGTACGCAGTTGGTTTTTTGTACTGAAGACATGATTAATCGTTCACTCTGGGAAGCAGTGAACACAAAACAACCGAATCTCGAAGCATCAAAGGTAATTTTGACCAACTTTTATCTCTCTCTAGATCTCTCTCTCGATCGATTGTCTGAGCTGCTCGTCGTTTGCAGATTGCAACATCACTGCCACGAATATGCTTCTTATCCGGTCTTACCGGTGAAGAGATGATGATGCTCATCGACGCCTTTCCAGAAAGTGGTAATAAATAGTAAACGAAAACGAAAAGTAACTACACATATATATATATATATATGTGTGTGTGTGTGTGTGTGTGTGTGTGTGTGTGTGTGCTCAAAAATTCAGTAAAAACATGTCTTCACATGATATTGCTGGACTCCATCTGTTTTTTTAATCTGGCTGTCTTCTGCATACGTCACGATTTCTTTTTCTTTTTTTACTAATATCGGGATTTTGATGTCGATGCATTATGTGCAGGTCTGGAGGCTCCCGTATTTGCAGCCCTGGTTCCAAACAGTGCTGACAAACCTTTAACCGAGTTAATAGAAGAGATTATGGGTGACCATGAAATGCTCGTAAGTTCGCTTCCTACCTCTAAACTCTTTTTAAACCCGAAAAGAAAAAAAAAAACGAGAAGAAGAAATCGTACATTGTTAAAACATAGTTTTGCCTTATTTTAGTTTGATGTGTTTGCTTCTCTTGAGTTAACGAGTTTTTTTATTGCATCGTGCAGTCTGCAAAGCAAGAAAACTAGACGGGAGATTACGATAAGTTTGACCGAGAATATTCGCCTTCTATTCAAGAATATATATATATATAGCAAAACAAAGATTCCACCGTTGCTTGTGTAAAGTAACCGGACATTGAGTTTAATTTTATTACTGCAAATGGTCGTTTTTTAAAATTTAAATTTTGATTAGAGGCGAGCATAAGAAGATAGAAAAGAAGTTTCGACAAAGGGGAGTAAAGAGGGCTGATAATAGCTCGAAGGACTTATGTGAATAAGCCTGCCGTAACACCCAACCAACTCCCACGTGTCCATGTCGAGGTTGTAAAGAAACCACGTCTCGTAATTCCTCACGAGCACAACAAGTGGGTCCCACGAAACAAAGGCGTCCAGATCCACTGTGGGGTTGCTCACACGCCACCAACCGGTTACGAAGCAATCACGTTCGGTTATAAGGCAAAAACAATCGACATAGATTTTGTACTTCACCACCCACTCGTCGCTCGGTATGGTGGTCGTCCTCTTGTAACCCCCGTTTACGCCTTTGGGCAGTGCCCAAAACTTCATCTTGTATTCGCCGTGATCAGTTTTGCCCCACCATAAAATATCTTCGTCGGGCGACCTTGTGATAACACCGCACCTGAAATCAGTAACTATCCTCCTTTAAAAAAAAGTATATTTTAAAAAAGGGAAGGAAAGAAAACACACACACACACAACACCTGGAATTGTGTATATCCATCGGCAGCACAATCAACTGCAAATGGTTTAGACCATCGTACGGGTCGTAAACAACGAGCATGGGCGGCCACTCAGCGAACCAATGAAAAACGCGGTTCGCCACAACCGTAGGGTCGTCGAGGTATTGGACGATCTCACCCGTAGTTACCGCTTTGGACAATACCCATTGCCCCGTCTTTGAAGAGTAAGTGTCTATCCACCTATTTCTATCTGCAACACAAGTAGTGACGTTGAAGAGTAAGTGTCTATCCACCTATTTCTATCTGCAACACAAGTAGTGACGAATCCAGGATTTTATAAAATCTTTATTAATTTAAAAAAAAAGCATTAATAAAAACACGAACCGAACCAAATCGGCTCGCATGCGCCACTGACCTGAAGGCCACTTTCCTATACAACCAGATACTCGAACGACAATGTAATTCGCTTTCAGTTCACTCGTATTTTCCTCGCACATGAACCCAATTCTGATACTTTTGCACCCAACCCGACCAAGCAGCGGCGGTAGTGTGACAAATCTTTCCGTCACGGGATTGTACACAGTGTACGTCGGATAACATTTGTATGGCTGAGCACAACATATAATTAGGCCATTGGAGGAATTGATCATGTGACCGAATTTCTCGGGCACGTAGTACGTGATGTTATTATCGAGGTCGCTTCTTGGATAGGTAATGTAGTAGTAATTATTGAGTATAGGCAGTAAATTATTCGGAGTACCGCCACAATGGAAAGCTTTGGGGAACAACGCTAACATTGCTCGCGGCGAGCAATGCTGCCGCCGCCGCTGCCGCCTGCTGTAACAGTCGAGAGAGAGAGGAGTGTTGATGATATTCTTCCATCTTTTCGAGACGGATATGAATCTGAAGACGGCGTGTGGAGGCAGCAAAATAAGTATCTCTATCAATAAATCTTCGTTCATCTCAACCATATTATTGTCTCCTCCATCTCCATTCATGGTGCTGGATGTATCTATCTATATGTACACATACGTGATACGTGTGTGTATATATATATTTATATTTATATATATATATATGTATGAATATTGGAATCCCATGCTATTTAGGATTGTTGATTGCAGAAAAATTGGCGGAAATACAAATAAGATTTCTCAAGACTTGGGTTTTATTTTGGATTATCATTTTGCACCCTCAATTGTGGGTAAATTACGGTCATCCCTGAGGTAAGGTTAAATTACAAAAAATCCCTCTTGTTTGGGTAATTACAACTACCCCTCAACTATGGATCTTCTTACACGTTCGCCCATATGGTGTCAAATTACGAAAAAAAACCCTCATGTTTGGGTAATTACAACTACCCCTCAACTATGGATCTTCTAGTTTGTACTCGTTTTCTGCAAAATGCAGTTTCTGATGCACCATAATTTGATATTTACATGGCAAAAGACACATCTTATGATCATCATGTGGAGCTCGAATGAAATAAAACGGGTACAAATTTGAAAAAAATATTACACATAATCTAGAAGGATCCATTAAATTTGACACAACAATGGTGCATGTGTAAGAAGATTCATAGTTGAGGGGTGATTATAATTACCCAAATATGAGAATTTTTTTCGTAATTTGACCTTAGTTCAAAGGGTGAGAGTAATTTTCCCTAATATTGGAATCTCATTCTATGTAGGATTGTTGATTGCAGAAAAAATGGCCGAAATACAAATAAGATTTCTAGAGACTTCGTTTTGTTTTCGATCATCATTTTGCACCCTCAATTGTAGGTAGGCGTGAATCTCACGAACGGAATCTTCAATATTTCTGGTCCGAAACTTCAAAATTTTCGTAAACACATGTTTTCAATTTCAATTGCTAAAATTCCGGATTTCCAATTTTTTCGAATATTTTGGGATCAAAATTAGAAATATATGTAATTTCTTTTTGGAATTTCCAACATCCGATCCGATTTTTAATTTCCGCTTACACCGGCAGACGGCATGCTTAAGGATTGGGTGTCCGTGTGAAGTAATAACATCAAAAGTCTACGACAAGTTCCATTACAATACATATTGCGCATGCACCACCAAATTTCAACATTCGCGTTCACATTTAACCGAGTCATCACTTATTTACAAACACAGTTGAACGAAGCCCAATCACATTGAAGAAACGAGGACGGCTGGTTCAGCAGGTTCGGCGGTCGGTTCAGCGGCCGGTTCTGCGGTTGGTTCAGCAGCCGGTTCAGCAAGTGAACCATCCATCCACCTCTTCAGCATCTCCAATGAAGCTTTAGGCTGATCCATTGGTACCATGTGCCCAGCATCATGTACCTAATTTTTTTTAATTTTTCTCACAATTAGTTTTAATAATAAATAAATAACGGAAAAATCGGAACATATTTATGGCAAAATGTAGACCTTTAAGAAACTAAGAGGTCCGTGGCTTGTTAATAATCCTGCTTCAGCACCATCAACTTCAAAAGCAACTTCACTAGATGCTACAAACTCTTTTTTACCGCTCCATTCCATTGCGTGGACCCACCTAGAGTTACCTGTTCGGTAAAAATAAACGATACGTTTTTATGTGCTAACTTTATAAAACTTAAATTTGGATATTAAAAGGTTGATAATAATAATAACAATAAATGAAGAAGTAGGCTTACCAAGCCAATTGCAGATGAGATCATATTCACCAGCATAAATGAGGAGCTTAACTCCATCCTCGAGAAGAGCAGGAATACCTACTTCGAGATTTCTCATCCAATCCATAAGCATGGCTTGGTAAACACTAGTGCTGCACGAGACGAACTCTATATCTCCAACTCCAATAGCACTCCTCACCGATTTCTGGTTGAGGAATTTCTCCAAGTTCGAGAAGTCGTAGCATAGACTGCCTTCGCATTTCTTTCTAATATCATAGTACTGCACACAATATAATAAAATTAAATAAAATAAGATAAAAATCGAACGATGAGGGACTATCTCAAACAATTGGGAGTTTAGGAAGACCACAAACGCAAATGTACACAAGATGCATATGAAGGGGAAACTTTATTGCAATTTGTGCACGTCTTTGAAATTATGCTTGTCCTTCGCATTAAACTTTGACCAATAATGTTGTACCTTCTGCTATTAGATGCAAGAAACTTTTAGATTTTTGTAGTACGGCGAACTTGTTATCCACATAGTAACCATAAATTGGTAAAGTGTAATCAGTTTCTTCACTTCACAATTCACGAAAAGCATATACCAATGGGATCACAAGCAACTATTGTCGTCATTATTATATATACATATGTATAGTGTGTGTGTGTGTGTGTGTACGGTATAACACAGAAATTTTAATCTTAAACTGAAAAGGAATGTTAGCTATAAACAGATAAGCTAGCTACAAGTTTCTTACGTTAATATCACCAGCACGTGCAATGATAGAACTGAATATTGTGTTGCAAACCAAATAAGCTGCCATGCAAGATAGCGTCCCATCAGTGCCTGAAACAAGCAGAATAAACAGCATTAAAGCTAACTAGCAGATTTAGCCACAGAGATACATGTACATATACCTCTGTCACGAAAAGGTAATACTGGAAAAGTATCCAGTATAAACGACAAACTAAGGCAAGTCACTCATAGAAGACAAATTAATGGGAAATAAAATATGCAAACAGTGTTCGTACATGTAAAAAAAATATATATATAGTGAAAAGGATATTCTAGACAAAGATGACAAAATTTTACCACAAAGCTTTATTGCTGTTTCACAGAGTGGAAGCACCTTGTTGATACGATCATGCTCAGTTTGCTTAATTATTCCCATATCAAGGGCATAATCGGCATAGGCACCATACTGAACTGCTGGATCTGTGAGCCCATTTCCAATAGCAAATCCCTGTGTAGTTGCATCATATAAGATAAAGTAACATAGCTAGAGAAAGAACCTTAAGATTAACAAATAACAATTGTGAAATACCTTCAAATTCACATGAATTCCTTCTTTTGCTTTGTTTCCTTGGTGGACACGGGCAGCAAAAGCGGGAATGTAATGTCCAGCATATGACTCTCCAGTAATGTAAAAATCATTGTCTGCTAGTTCAGGATGCTCCTTGAAGAAAGCCTACATCAAAAAAGTATTCATCAGTGGTAATTCTATTTATTTAAACATATGAAAACTTCACAATAAAACATATTCCACATCTAAACTCGTTAAATTTCTTTCGCACCTATAGCATAAGAAAAGGTAAACCAAGTAGTAACACTGACCTGTAGAAAGTCATATAAGTCATCACTGACACCTTTTTCATTATGGCGAATGTCACGCTTGTCAGAACTATAGCTAAAGCCAGTCCCAATAGGCTGGTCAACAAATAAAATATTGGAAATCTGCATAATAATCATAGAAACGATACCCAGTTAATCTTAAGGTTCAAGTATTCACCTGTCATCAGTTTGTTTCTGATGTTTGAGTACGAAAATATAATTTACACATTAGCAACTGAGAGACAACAATTATTAGTACAACATATTTAGCAAATATTTAACAGGATTGTAGAAAACAATTACCATTTTGCATGAAATGTCATATAGACGACATATATATAGTCCATATACTCAAATAAACTTTTCCTAACCATCATTTGAGACATTTTCAAACTGGACTACATAAAAACATAGGTTTTTGAAAATATGAGAGGTGAAAGACACCCTCTCATAACAAACGAAATCTTGTGCAGTTGCACTGACAACTGCAAGTAAATTATATAAGGTGAAAACGCCAAAAGGCTGTCTCGAGGTGAGAAC